CAAGTTCATACGTCCGAAACGTTTCCGCATGGAAACGTTACGGACATTCTCGAATCGATCATCACGCCCGCGTGGGCGGCCAGTATAGACTTGAAAGATGCGTATTTTCACGTACCGATCAGGCCGGAGCACCGCAAATTCCTACGTTTCCAATACAAACATATACTGTACGAATTTGTGGTGCTCCCGTTCGGGCTATCCACTTCTCCGCAGGTGTTCACCCGGATCGTGAAGACGATCGGGGCGGCACTGTGGCGACGAGGGATCATGATATTCATGTACCTTGACGATTGGCTAGTAGTGGGTCGTTCTCGAGGGGAGACGGAAGCGGCGCTCCAACTAACGTGGCACCTTGCTACCGACCTGGGATTTCTCATCAACACCAAGAAATCCCACCCAGTCCCCTCTCAGGTTCCCACCTTTCTAGGTGCATCCCTCGATCTTCGCAGGGGACTGGCCCGTCCATCGGAGGACCGCCTGCTGAACCTTCGGCAGTGCGTGTCCCTCTTCCTCCTGACGGTAGTGGCTCCGGCCCGAGCCTGGCTCAGGCTGTTGGGCCTTATGGCCAGTCTGGTGGACTTAGTGGATTTTTTGCAGGCTGAGGATGAGGCCAATTCACCTTCACCTGCTGTCTTTCTACAGACCCCGCTGGCACCCGATCGACCATCCGGTGCCCACTACGTCTTGGCTAGTCCCCCACCTTCGTTGTTGGCTAGTCGAGGCCAATATAATCCAGGGCCGCGTTTTCCGCCCGCCCCGCCCGTCGGTACTTATCACAACCGACGCGTCAGGGTACAGCTGGGGGCCTACCCTCCACCCGCGACAGGTCGCGGGCGTGTGGGGCCCCGCACATCAATCATCCCACATCAACGTCCTGGAAATGCTGGCAGTCACCAACGCACTAAAACATTTCCAGTCGGACGTCAGAGGGCAAGCAGTCCTGGTACGATGCGACAACGCCACAGTGGTGGCATACATCAATCACCAGGGTGGCACTCGGTCAGGCCATCTGTGTGCACTAACGTGGGATCTCACCCTCTGGTGCATACATCACGGGATAGCACTGTCGGCAGTACACATCCCGGGGGAAGAGAACATCACAGCCGACGCTCTCTCCGGAGGCTGGATCGCCCCGACAGAGTGGTCACTGCTCCCACAGGTGGCTCAGTCGATCTTCCGACTAATCGACCGGCTGCATGTGGACCTATTCGCGTCGCGAATGAAAATCAGCTACCGATCTACTGCGCGAGGGACCCAGATCCCAACGCGTGGCAGACCGATGCACTGTCGGTGCGGTGGGACGGCCTACTGGACTACGCCTTCCCACCCATCTCCCTCGTTTCTCGAGTGCTGACCAAGATCGAGCAGGAGGATTGCCGAATTCTCCTCATAGCCTGTTCTGGCCCCGCCAGCCGTGGTTTTCCCCGGCTCGGCCGACTCTTGGTTCACCGCCTGGTAATTCTACCGAGGAGGGCCGATCTCCTTTATCAGCCCAGCTCGGGAATCAGTCACCAGGCTCCGGGGGATCTTCACCTGACGTGCTGGGTATTGTCACGCGATCCCTCTGCTCAGCAGGCCTTTCGCGACGAGCTGCAACAATTGCAGCTCAGTCCCGTAGAGCCTCAACCAGAAAGGTGTACGATAGCCGACTACGCCATTTCTTAAATGGTGTAGACAGCAATCCATTCATCCCCCCAATACTTCTGTAGGGGAAGTGGGGGATTTCCTCCTATACCTTTTTAACAGTGGGCTCACGACGGCCACAGTCAAAAATTATCGATCGGCCGTTGCCGTGATCCATCAGGGATTTTCGGACGGTTCCTCCGTTTCCGGCAACCCTGCAATTACCCAACTGATCAAGGGGATGTTTAATACTCGTCCCCCAGTACGCACATTAATCCCATCTTGGGACCTCTTCAGTGTATTATCTACACTTGCGAAGGCTCCCTTTGAACCAATGAATTGCTCAACTTTGTTACAACTCTCCATCAAAGTAGCTTTTCTATTGGCTGTCGCTACGTCCCGACGACGTGGTGAACTACACTCGTTATCGATGCAGACAGGACACATCCGGTGGGAACCGGGGGGTGTCCGCCTGATCCCTACGGCCGGTTTTCTCGCAGAGAACCAGTCGCAGACCTTTACGCCCCCGGACATCTTTGTCCCGGACATCAAGTCTTTTTCGAACGAGACAAATGACAAACTTTGGTGCCAGTTCGAGCACTTAAGTGGTATGTCAACCGTACGAAGTCACTTCGTACGGGACACGAAAAATTGTTCATCACGACGACCCCGCCCCATGGGCCGGCGTCCCGCGATACAATCACTCGCTGGATCGTGACAGCTATCCGGTCCGTACCGGGCGGCTGGCTAGCGACCCAGGGACCCATTCGAGCGCATGAGGTCAGGGGAGTGTCCACCTCGTGGGCCTTTTTTAAGGGTGTCCCCCTAGGTGACATCGTCAAGGTAGCCTGCTGGAAGAACCCTAACACGTTCTCCGAATGCTACCTGAAGGATGTCCTCCAGGTAGATGGCAAGGCTGGAAGAGAAGTGCTGCTGGCGGCCAGTCGAGCCTCACGGAAGCACTAACGGGTGAGCATATAAATATACATATATATTTGTATGGGCATTAAGTTTAATTAGGTGTACCTATCATGGGTTCATCCCCATAATGGTTACACCCCCTGACTGTTTGCGCACGAGCTCTTTGGGTTCCCCTTACGAGGTGAAACCTGGAGCGTCTGGGGTGTAGGTTTTTTGGTTTGGTGTTGTTTGCCTTTGGACACGCCTCATGTCCTACACCCCTGTAGACATACGGTAATTTGCGTATACCCACCGCCTTACTCGGTGCGAGTCTATGCATATGTAGTATTCGCTCTACAGGTAAGTAGAGTGATGTAGACTCCCCCCCCCCACAGTAGTGTGGTTGGGGTCTACGAGCGAATACTTACCTGTAGATCACCCCTCCCTCCTTCCCCACTATACTCGATTCCTTGAGTGCTTACGCAAGTAACGCTTGAGAAAAAGAGGACGCTAACGTAGTGCGCATGTCACAGGGCGTCGTGGGTAGGACACGTGAGGGCGCTATTGTATGTAAAACTCTTAGCGAATTGCCTGCCGGCATAGGGAACAATGCATATGTAGTATTCGCTCTACAGGTAAGTATTCGCTCGTAGACCCCAACCACACTACTGTGGGGGGGGGGGGGATTTTCTTTTGTTCCTGTTCCCTTTTCCTTTGTTTGTTCTTCAACATTTTTGCAACAGCTCTCATTGGCAGTCCTTCTGATTTGGAAATCACAGGTGTGTGGAAAATGGCACACCTGGATTTTTCTAGGCGTGTGGTTTTTCTGGGGGTGTGATTTTCTTGGTGTGTGATCTGTGGTCCAGGAAAATTCAGGCGTGCAATTATTCACACTTCTCGGGAAGCTTTTAGGTGTGCGATGACGTGGGGGTGCGATCGCACGCTCGATTTATCGAGGTGTGTTGCACTTGTGTGTCCTAGATTTACACCATAAACAAGTGCACACACTCAAGTGTGTATTTGCCTACAATCAGGGATCCCTTATTGTCCCTTTTTTGTTTGTACTTTTACTTTTTAGGAAGACCTCCCATATGTTTTGTACACGAATCAAAAGTGGGGACCTCTCGAGAATTGGGGACCCTATCGTCCTCTATTGTTTAACGTCCCCTATTGAATACAGAAACAAACTCATACACACCCAGGTTTGTATATGGTGTAAATGTGTGTTCCGCATCATCAATCTTTTGTTCATACCGTTGATTTTGTACACCTTTTCTGATGGAGGTCGTCGTCGATTTGATTCCTGTCCTCAATTTCTTGATGATGCTTCACATTTCGTCACCGACACCACGAAGTAACACCCATCTACATACCAGTAAAAACTAGCAATCGGAGAAAACGGCTTCTAAAGTTGCACGCCTTCTAAAACAACACTTTGCGTCAAAACGACAGAGTATTTTCAGTTGGGTTTCTCGTTGTGGACACTTGATGAATTGAATTTATTAAATATGCTGTTTTTCACCCGTTTGTGTATTAAATAAACAAGAAAATGAGAGAAAAAAGATGAGTGTTAGTTCGTGAAACCGAAAAGGTTGCGAAACTGTAAATTTTCATTTTCACGAAGTAACACTCTTCAATGTATTCAACACGAGGAAAGTGCAACTTCAGGTCAGCGCGCGCGCGCTCGCTCATACAACTTATTACAAGAAGAGAGTTACTTCGTGAAAACGTTTTTGCTCACTTATGAGCAGAGTGCGCGCCATGCATTGCAATGGTAAATGGAACTTGAGTGTTACTTCGTGAAAACGAAAATTGTCACTTTTGCGCAAAAGTTGCCATGGATACTTAGCGTAATTATTAAAGTAAAGCTCTTGAAGCTTTGAAACTTCGTGCAATGGTAGGCCTTGATGAATAATGTTTAATAATCAAAAAAACTGAAAATCAAAAAAAAATATGGTTTAACACGGTAGAGTGTTACTTCGTGGTGTCGGTGACGATTTGTGTCCTCGATTTACACCATAAACATGCACACACATATACCTTTTCTTCTTTTTAGTATAGTGGTGATGTATGTGTAACACATTTGTAAACCTGTGTATGCAGTCTTATTCTTGGGGAAGTTTGGTTTGATAGTTAGTTGTTAAGGCCACACACTTAAATTCTACACACTCCGTAAAATACTTAGTTGCCTAGTCAGGCTTTGGAAGCTTACCAGAATGTCACATCATGACTTTAACATGCCTTTAATTCTATCATTATCATTATGTATACTCACAAGTGTGTATTTGCCTGCAGTTTGGGACCACCTATTGTCTCTCTTTTGTTTGTACTTTTTAGGAAGCCCTCCCATATGTTTTGTACGCATCAACAAATTGGGGACCTTCGGGAATTGGGGACCCTATTGTCCTCTATTGTTCAACGTCCCCTATTGAATGCAGAAACAAACTCAATGCCATCTACTATTTTTTTATATTAAGGTCAGACAGATGCATCACAAGTTCTCTTCAGAAGGATGGGTATTGGACCAAAGTAGCATCTTTGCTCAGGTTGATGCCTTTGTTCAGCGTTGCAAGGATTTACTTGAGGTACATGTAAGCTTCAACTTTATGCAACTTTAAATGGGAATTGATCATAAAATTGATGATTTGCACTTTACATGTAAGTCCACAATGAAGCTGTTTATTGATTCACATGGTATTTTTATTTGTCAAATAAAGACTTGTTCATAATAAATTAGCCCAATGCATGTTTTTTATTTACCTCTTTATTTGTCATATGTGTAGGTTTGTGAATGCCAAATTCATTTTGCTCGTTGGGAAGATGGTAACAAGACTCCACTCCCCTGTTTTGCTGGCCAGAGAGGTCCGGAGATCACACGCAGTCTACTAGAGATAGAGAGTGCTTTTGAGGCAAACCTGGCTGTTATGAGCGGTGTCAGGAAGACAATTCTGGACGTTAAGGCAACCACGTGGCATGATGATTATAACAGGTGTGTCCATCTCATATCAATTTCTTTTTATTCCAAGATCTTTTTTGTTGAAGCTTTTTTTTCAAACAGCACTTACATGTACAGTCGACTCTCGTTATTACAAGGTTCTCAGGTCTTTAAACATATTAATGTGAGATGCATAATTAGTGGAAAGCAGGCAGTCTTGCCCAATTTCTGTCACTGGCATTGACTCTCCATGGCAAACTCTTGGTGGCACCGGCGCACTGCATTGTGAAACGTCCGAATTATTAGTCTATGTTCTTTTGTCGGATCCACCATTCCACTTTCTGATTCATATTCCACATCCCGATTCCATATTCCCATTCCATATTCCCATACCACAGTCCCATTCCACATTCTCATTCCACATTCCATAACCCTATTCAACATTCCACCGTGACTGTGTATACAACTGTCTCTACTTTCACCGGTTTACTTATCCTGTCCAATGAGGAATGCGAGTGTCTTCTCTTCACCATTCCTTGCAGAATAAGTGTCGAGCACCACAGGCTAGACATGTGGCAAAAAAATGAGCCCGGACAGACCTTGCCTTGGGTTGTCCCTCACAATCAGCCAGGGTCGTCTTTCTTCCCTGGTCAACAATGTAATTTTCCAGCTCTGCCATAGTGGCTGTGTCCGTGGGTTAACTCCACACAACAGTGGCTTCCTAATGCTACGCAGCAGATGTTTCATCAACTTTAGGGAAATCCTTCTACCCCATGACAACTTTGGCTTCCTTCGCCAACGAGTCCGATTGTTTGGGACAGTAATTCTGGCGAGGGTGCGAATTTGGACTCCGTAAGTATCAGAACGGAATGATTGGAGATAGGTGATGAAACCGAATCGGATTCTCATAATCAACAGGTATTCCAGTGATATATAAAGTTCTTTCCTGGTGGGAAGACCTGCTTTCAAATAAATTGGGACATGATGTGTTCAAAGAAGAGACTCAATCCAAGAACCAGTGGGACAGAAACCACATTTCAAGGCTCAGGAATTACCAAGTCAGGTAAAGGTATCCTTCAAGGAAGCTTGAGCGTCTTTGGTTACCCAAGATGACAAGCTTAAAGATTCTGATAATCACCTGCTGAAAGCAGCTTTTCCTTTTACCCATCTCTTTGATGCTTTGGTGGATCCATCTTGCCCAGAGGAGACTGTCGATACCAGTCTGGTTAAATCTCAAGCCACTGATACTGCTTTGGTCTGCAAGCCAGAGTCTGGCTCTTTCAAGACAGCATGCCTTTGATGAGCTGCTTGACAAAAGATTTAAAGCCATTGATGAGCCATCTTTTTGGTGGAAATTTAGGCAGAGACTGTAGCATTCACTGCAAGGCCATACAGGGGAATATATTTTCTCCTTATTGTTCTGCGGCACATAGGCCAGTTCCAAGTGTTGTTTTGGCCCGTTATCTGGCAAATCCAAAACTATGTGTCTTTTCAGCGTTGGAGGTGAACATTCATCATACACGACTGCTTAGACGCCTAAATAACCAGCAATTTACCGGGGTGTTTTTATCGTTTGGGAAACCCCATCATCCAGTAATTTCACCTACTATTGCAAGATGGCTAAGAATAGTGATGGTATCAGCAGGAATAGATTTTGCTGACAGCAGACTGGTCATCAGTGAATGCCTTTAGCAAGTTTTATTTAAGTGAGATGTCAGTGAAATTTACATGGTGAGTCTCAACGAGGACGAAATATAATTTCCAATTATGTAAGGGTTCTTATAATTGGAATTGTATGAGGCCGAGGAGGAGAGACTCACCTCCCTCCCTTGGTTCCTCAGTTCTCTTCAGCCTCCTACCCATCTTGAGTCCTCAGCCAGGACCAATACCTTAAATGTACAAAGAGACATGCTTCAATGGTTTCTTGGGGGCTTGATACCCTGCGTGCTTGGGGTTACTTGGTTTTTTTTTTATGAATGAAGGACTGATCCAATTTCTTCTAATGTAAGTTCCCTTACATAATTTGAAGTTGTATGTGGGCAATATCACACTAATGGGCCCAAAAGTGTGACACCCATTTCCTTACAGTGTGTCTGTCCATTTTACATACCGGTAAGTGTCACACAAAAAAAGATGCCTGTTATTTTCTCCCCTGCAAAAAGATAACATCTTTTGTCTTGTCTTTTCCTAGTCACTTTCAACTTAGCAAGGTATAGGAAAAAAAACAGAAGAAAATACTAGCTCATCTTTTACCCTCAATATGCAACATCCATAAACTCATCTAATTGGCCCATTAGTGTGGAATTGCCCATGTATGGTTCCACAATAAAGTACAAATGTATCTTCATTTGTGGCAAGAGGTAATAATGTCTATTGAAAACAAACAGTTTTATAAGGATGACAACAGTTTCTATACATCATAAGCACAATTGTTAGGATGGATGAATAATTGCAGTAGACTTTATTGGTGGCAATAACTCATTTGCGAGTTGTCAACTGAGGTAGCATTAGTTGCATTTGGAGCAGTTCAGAGAATATATCTGGAGAATTAAAAAAAAAATTCTGACTGACTGACTTAGAAAGCTAATATGTTAAATTAATGTGTCCACTGATTTGGAGCAGGTTCCGAACAGGCATCAAAGATTTAGAGGTCATGATGCAAAATGTCATCTCTACTGCGTTTGAGACCATCAACACAGTTGAACAAGGAGTGGAGTTACTGGATGCATTTCAACATCTGTCATCGAGAGAGGTATGTTATAAACTAGACCAGGAAGTTATTTGCACCAGAAATGCTACTCATTCAAGAGGGGATTAACATGTGTTCAACTAGGCATCAAACTGGTCACTATCAGTGGATTGTATCTACCAATTTTACTGGGGGATGGGAACACCAACACCTTGGCATAAAATACTGAAGTTCACTTGCTAGCAAAAATACCAATGTTCCAAATTGTAATTGCAGATGCAGCTTTCCTCCTGATAGGCAAACATTACAAAGTTGAATTGTGATTAGAAATGTGATTCATTAACGTCATACCCTCTCTTGGGTTGCATATGACAGGATCAAAGACCACAGAGATTATTTGGAACTCTAAAAGGTGGACTGAAACACAAGGTCGTTGTCATAAAAGTAGGCAAGTTTGAAGGAGAACCTAATAAAAGTTTACCATCGACTCCCGTTAGTACAAAATCCACGGGACCTGGTCAAAATGTTTTCCGAATTTCGTATTATCCGATGCAATAATTTCCAACCCATTGTTCTTTTTTGTGTTAGCTCTTTGAACGTGCATGATGTTTGTATGTGTAATCAAAATGAAATGGAACATCGTATTGGGTGTGTAGTACTATAAAAAAATTAATAAAAAAATTGTAAAAAAATTATGTAAAATGTATGGTACATATATTGTATGTAAAATAAAAAAAACCCAAATAATACAAGTTCATGAAAACTTCAAGAGTAGAAGACAGAGTATGTATAAATGACCAGCCGGAATGTGACCACTGAATCAACCGGGACCATGTTGTTCCATTTAAGTTAACTCTTCTACACAAATTGTGTCATGGAGAGACATTTCTAATTTATTTCTATACATGTACCGGTACCTTTTGTCTTTCAATGATTAATTTTAGTAGTCTCCACGGCAAAAATTACGTCTGAGAGACCTTCAGACCTTGGTTCGTTTCTACATAAAATTGTCAGGTACTCGTCCTAAATCCAAACTTGTTTGCTTGCTTGGCAATGGTACCAGCTGTTCAGAAAGTGCCTTAACATCTGACAAAATGTTCATCACGGAAGCAATGTGAGCTTTTTATGGCTTGCACTATATTTTACCCACAATCCTGTGCATACTGTCTGCATAATGCAGTGACTAGGTGATCAGTGTCTTCCCAGTAGTTGCCTTTTTAAAATATACGAGATGGGAAGGGCTGATATCTTCCTATCGGTGCATGTTGCGAAGGTCATGTTTGGATTATGAATTCACAAGAAGCATTTCTGTGGTATGGGCAGTGGCGTAACTGGGGTGAAACATCTGGGGGGGGGGGCACCTGGGAGTGCGCACATTTGTTCAAGGGGGCACTGAAACTAGAAAGTAATTGAACTGCGGCTTGCCTTTTTGGTTTTTTTGGACTGATTATGGACGTAAATGCTACACCTGTTATACCTTTTGAAACACAAACCACAGGGATATACCAAATCTTACCAATAAAAATTAAAACAACTGGAATTTTCTGTTGTGCTTTCTTGAAAAGGTAGATACAAACTCATCCAGGTCGATTATCTTGGCTCTTTGTGGATGGATGGCAAGCACTGCTACTGAGGACAGCTTTTGTCAGACTCGCAAATCGAGAATCAAAAAATCTGCTAGACCCTGTGGTACGGTCACGCGCATGACCTAGCAGATTTTTTGATTCTCGATTCTTCGATTTTATATCTAGTCACCCTGACTGATGCACGCGCATGCGTATAAGCACACAACAACCACAAAACAGACATAACAGCGGCATTGGATGATACTTCATAAAAAGCCATGGAAATCATCAATATTTTTCATATTTTCGTAACTGTTGTTCTGTTTCAAGTCGATCATTTGCTTCGTGAATGTCTGGTGCAAGGTATGAGGTATAGATTTCATGTCATCTGGGTTGGAATAACAGGGGAAAGGACCATTTTTGTGGAGTCTGTTTTTTTAGGGACTCCGCCAGTTTGAAACAACGGATACAACATAGCTTGCACTCAAGGGCAATTCCAACTTCACTCACGTTACATTTATATGCCACGAGGCTACTTTGACCTCTCCCTGCTTCAAAAGTATTTGATCAAGCTGAATCAAACCAGCCATACAACAACCTTGGGGTAAGGGCTACTCAAAATGGAAAGAAAAATTAAATCCATTGTTATTTAAAATTAGGCCTAATTGTTGGTCGTCGCTCACGTTACAAAAAAAGGATATGGAAAATTGTCCTGCAATGTTGTTGTTACAGTCTCCTCAAACTGTTTTCTACAACACATAAGTAACATTATTTTACCTTTCATTCAACCCATAGCTATATATTAGAACCCATTATTTGAATCAAATATGTGTATTTTAGATGCAAGGGACATTAGATTACAGGGAGGTATCGTCACTCACGTTATGTTACTCTCGTTACTTCATGTTTTTCAACATAGCATAAAATCTGAGTTTGATGATCTGCAACATAATGAAACTCTTTTCTTATAATATATGAACCTTTTGCTCTGCCTTCAACACAAAAACTCTCGATAACAGTCACATTTTGCATGTTAAAAACAAGGTGCCAAAATGACAACCAAAAATCCATGATTTTAGCCTGACTTAAAGGGAAATAAAAACATTTGCAAACATCAAAAAATAAAACTACCAAATCATTTTGAAATACCTTGCTGGACTGTTAGTGAATGACAGTGTAAAGCATCCTGTAAAATCATGGCACCTGGTATACTGTCATTTTCAAGAAAAGTGGTATTTTTGTATCAATTTCCAACGCTGATCGGCCGATCAGCGTTGGAAAAAACTGGCTTTTTTTCAAATACTGGCCCCAATTGACCATCGCACTTGTTTGCAATCGATTACACACCTATGAATGGGTACAAGCCAGCTAGAATGGTTCCCTGACCTTACAATTCCCCAATGTATGTAAACTGCTCTGTTTCTTCTTAAATGGAGTCAGGGAACCAGACTACAGGAAAATGATTGTTTTTCTTGGTTTTTATAGCATTTTTGAACCCAAAACCTCAAAAAAGTCAGTGTAACTATATTTGCTACAAGCTGATTTACCCGATCATAGATCGGGTAGGGCGTAGTGTTGGTGAAAATGTGGGGAGTTATATGTAAAAGGGGGATATACTTTGGGGAGACATGCAGTTATAAAAGCAATTTCTGTGGTGTGTGGGTACTGTCAAAGGGCAGTGTGAACTGAGGTAATTTCTGACCACTAAAACCAATTTGAGCAAAAGATCATCTTTGAAAGTTTTGAGTTTAGAGTAATTGAATCAGCTACATGTATTCTGAGCATAGCAATAGAATCGTTATTGTAGGCTACAATATTTTAATTCGGGGAAGAAAAAGTTGGGGGGGGGGACCAAACAATGTCCCCCGCCTCAAAATGTGTGTGTGGTGGGGGGGGGGGGGGGTCCCCTGTCCCCCGTCGATTTACGCACATGATCATTATGTACCATGGCAACTGTCTGTATACTTGAATGTTGCCGTTGGTCTGTTAAATTGACTTTTTGTGAGGCAGTCGCATTTGGAAAACGTAGTGAAAAGGTTACTGTAGTACACAGGCAAAGGCTGGTTGTACAGTTTTGACAATAAATCATAATGCAATAAAACGTGAAGGTGTCATTTGAAATGAAAATGTTGAGTGTTACCATAAAATTACAAACGGTCTGAATCATGGAGGAAGGTCATAATTAAGTTTCAGTATTGGACTCTTCAACAAACGTAAACTTGAACTTAATTCTTACAATTTGCGAGATCGTCTGCGAGGAAAAAAGTTGGTTCAACCATCTATATAAAAGCAAGTTTTACTTGGCCTCCGAGAAATGTTTGCTCCTGAAAGGATCCGAGACCGCGGCTTCACGTCCGTGGAAAAATGTGGGTGTCTTCCGCCGGGTCGGAGACTTTTTCGTCGATTTTTTTGTGACTTTGTTTAAGATCGCGATATTTGAAGCAATATGCATCGATCCTTCGTTGACCCCAAACAGGCCCCCGAAATTATAACGCGACACTGAATTATACATGGCGGGCAGCGAACTCACAACGCTCAGCCTTGGTGGTGGAAGCATGGAGCTGTAAACACATTATGGAAGCAACAGCACTCTATCACGCGACGTCACAGGCTCGCGCTTCAAATAGCGAGCACCGTAGACCCAACCTCGTTTGCAGGGTGTGGAGCAGGCTGCAGTACGCGTTGCCGTCGACAGTTTTGCATAGCCTGGAAATACTATGCAAAGTAGACTTTCGATTGGTCAGACCGCGCAAGGCATACTAATGTGTAGTCCTTCTGAGTATTCGTTGCACTCGGCGCAGGGGCGGCAAGCAAAGCACAGGAAACAATAGGGACACTTGGTGGCCACGGACCATGGAGAAAAAATATTTTGCCAAGGTCACCCCATACTACCATTTGGTGAACACTTTTGCCAAACGGCCGAGTAGAACACGTAAACGAAACCCCTACGTTGACCTCGCTGACCTCGCATAGTCTAGACTTGCAGAAAAGCCAGCACAGGGGGCGACCAGGCAGTCATTGTGAAAGCGCACACGACGGCAAATTCCTGCGCAAAACGCAGTCACGAAAATTCGACGAAACGGATCGCCGGTCCGTACGGGAAAATTAGGACGACCCGAAGCGTCCGACCCGGCGGAAGACACCCTCCGCATTTTTCCACGGACGTGGAGCGATTTTGGCGCCGCGGGAGCCCGCGGTCTCGGATCCTTTCAGGAGCAAACATCGTCTCGGGGGCGAGTAAACTTCTCTCTTATATATATAGATATATTTCCCACCCCCCAATTCCATGCATTTGTGAAAATTACAGCAAAAGCAAATGATGTATATTCCCTTTAAACCAATTGATGACTAGGCTAATGATGTTGCTTTCAGACAAGGTCTGAAAGAAAAAAGCCGTGAAATTAGTAAGCTTTCGTGGTTTTCAAATTTTTTTTGTAAAAAATGGGTTGTTAACAATGCTTTTACTTGCCAGGGGGTCGCCAAAACTTTCATTATAACAGAAAATTTGTACTACCCGATTTCGTCTGAAGCCCGGTTCATACTTCACGTAAAAGCGAAAGCGAAGCGAAATTCGTGACGTCAACAATACATTCAAAGTGCGTCCACCATTGTTGACGACATGAATTTCGCTTCACACAAGCTTTTGCGTGAAGTGTGAGCAAATTTCTCCCCATAGAAACTTGTACAATTTTGCTGGGACCAAAGATAAGTGTTTTTATAATTGGAATTTTGTCCTGTCCCGTCCTATTGAAATGCTGCATTACTTGAATCACTAAGATCCTGATGAACATCCCGTTTTTGATGGAATTCCTTTTTTTCATTGTCAAGTTTACATCAGTAATATTTAACATAATATATTTCATCCTTAATAGGCTATTAGACGGACAATTGACAAGAAGACGGTTGAAGTGTATGCCCTTTTCAATGATGAACTGAATGCTGTGAAAAAAGAACTGACTAAGAAGAGCCAAAGTCTGGGACCCCTCTTGCCAAAGTATGCAGGCCAGGCCCATTGGGCAAGATCATTAAAGGGCCGTATTGATCGGTCCATGAAGGTAGGCATATTGGAGCCCTGCATTGTACAAGTACTTGTTTTCAGGTTTTCAGGACATGGACAATGTCAACTTTGTTTTGGATATTGGTCTCTGACAATATTCAACCAGTGATTTCAATATAGATAAAAAAAAATTGTAGTTTAATTTAAGAACCCCTTCTCATTATATACATGTGTGTGATGTAATGGAGCAAAAAGAACATAAAACTTTTTTCTTTAGAAATGTTTCCAAAAGAATTGTTCAAAGCCATCAAAATGTACACATTATGCTTGGAATTGACACTTTGGAAAATAAGGGTGCGTCAGATATGTTTTAAATAAGAAATCTGTCCATTTCTAACTGAAGTGAGTGCAAGCAACAGATTCTTTGTGAACTGGTAGATCATGTATACAGTTTCTCTTTGGTGGTATTAAAATAGTAAATCAGGCAACAATCATTCTGTTACCATCAGAATCACATGGTTTAAGCTATAGAGGTACACACCACATGTACACTCTGGGGGAAAATGTTGTCATTCGCCTGCGCAGGCTGCCGGGCCATGCGCTAACTTTTAAGGCCGGGGACCAGCTGGGCCAGCCGGCATCAATTCCCGGTGTTTATTTCTCAACTTCAATTTTCATATTTTTTTGGGAGAGTATCATACGACAGTAAATGTTTTGATGGTAAATGTTTTGAATGGAACGGGTCCGAGCTTTTTGACTTTAGAATTTAGAGGCCTTACAAAATTGAAACCGCTGCGGCTTATACGCCGGTGTGGCTAATACGCCTACTTCAAATCTTAATTTGCAGATTTTTGCGTGCTGCAGCTTATACTCAGCGCGGCCTATATTCCGAAAATTACGGTACATGGTAGGCAACAGGCATGAAGTACCTTTGGCCGCAGAGAGAGAGAGAATGAAAGCACACAAACTTTCTGCGATTCAAAAATTTCTCGTTTACAGCAATTGATCAGTCTTTTCTGTGCACGTATTTTCCGTTTTCATGTTGGAGATTGTACCCATCGTACTTGAAGCAATACGGCGTAGCCATGGTTCGTTGCCCCGGCTCCTACACAGTGCAAAACACAGTGCCCGTTTAAACTTGCAAACGTCGCATCTTTAAGTCCCACCCAAGTAAACTTTGGAAGTTTTTCGAGCTGGTTGTGAACACCAAAAGCCGGAAACAATGTTGCCATATAAGAAAGATATTACATATCCAAGAGTGTGACATTTTCTGTGTCCCTGTTACACCTGACCTGTGAAATTTACCATACACGTATCATTAAAATTGACTCCAAACATGTTTTATTTGTTTAGCAGGTCTTTTGGTTACCCAATTACTCTTGGAGATCGAAGGCATTAATTAAAGAATGTGTCATGAATTTACTATCTTATATCAAATGTAACAAGGACCCCACAGTTATTGAATGACCCATTTACTTCTTCGGCATCATACTTTTTATTCCCCTGGCTGTAAGCCGGAGGAGAATATTGCGATAACGTATTCCTTCTGTGTGTATGTATGTATGTGTTCATCTTTTCAAACCGTGGACGAAAAATCCAGAGAACAAAAGAGAACTATATCGTCCACGATTCCCAGCATACGTCCGCGATTGGGGTTGTGTACAAAACCTATGGGAGTCTTCCTAAAAAGTTAGAGTACAAACAAAAGAGGGACAATAGGACGTCCGCGATCAAAGGTGAACACACGTTTGTATGGCTGTTTGTTTATGGTGTAAATCAAGGACACACGTGCAACATCATCGATGAATTGAGGACAGGAACCAAGTCGAGGACTCCTGGGTTACAAAACCTATGAGAGCTGTTGCGAAAGAGTTAAGAGTATAAACAAAGGAAAAGGGAAGAGGAACAATAGAAGACCCTCGATCTACACCATTAACAAACAAAAGAGGGACAACAAGGGGGTCCCCGATTGCAGGCAAATGCACACTTAAGCGTGTATGTCTATGCGTGTTTATGGTGTAAATTAATCAAGAATCTTCTATTGTTCCTCTTCCCATTTCCTTTGTTTATACTCTAACAAAAAAAGGAAAAGGGAAGAGGAACAAAAGAAAATCCTTGATTTACACCATCAACAAACGTGATTTGGTACACCTGTGGAGACATGTGCACAATAGGGAACAATAGGGAACAAAAGATTGTCTCCACAGTGCAATTTCTATAGGTGAATACGTCTTCACAAGGTTAAGTTGTTCTTGGTAGTCTTAAGAAGCCTATTGCTTTTGGGGTCGACAGGTCAAAGGTCAAGGTCATTATTGCTAAAACAATAGAAACAATGTCAGTATAATAACTTGAGAAATACTCAAATTAGGAACTTGAAATTTGTGGTTTGTGGGTTGCTCTTGGTAGTCTTGAGAAACTTATTGATTTTGGGGCTGACAGGTCAAAGTCACTATTGCTAAAACAATAGAAATCTTCCATTTTGGTTAGGGACACTGACTTTATAAAACTGCCAGCATGCCAGGGGGATTGCGCAAGTCTCACTTGCAGTATTTTTTTGTACAGGTATTGGACAAGGCCTACTTCCTGCCACACATAGGTACTGGTGCAGAAACACGGACACAGTACAACCAGCTCAGCACAGCTCTGGATGAGTTCATTCGTAAGACATTTAATGAATGGGCAGTCACTGTGGATAAGGACTGCATGAAATTACTCGATGTTCCACTCATGTGCAGAAGCACTGAGAAACAGGCCATGCTAGACATGAACTTTGACAGGTAGGAGAGATTACCCATGTTACAATAAGCTTTATACAAAAAGTGCTTCCAAAAATTGAAAAATTAAGTAACAGTTGTGTACATGTACACTGTAGTTAATTTTTGTCTTATTGTTTTGTAGTAAAATTCTCTAGTATTGTTAAGGAAATAAATGTTTGTTTGGGAGGTTTTATATCACTCTGTTTAAGACTGATTTGAGTCTTGATGGGTGATAATTACCCGAGGCGAAGCGTATACCGGCTAACAGATTGATACTTCGCCCCCTTGACAGGTCCCATGACTCCCTTTGTATACTTGCTAACAGAGTGATACTTCGCCCCCTTGACAAGTCCCTCATTGACTCCCTGCATATACCAGCTAACAGAGTGATACTTCGCCCCCTTGACAAGTCCCATGACTCCCTTTGTATACCGGCTAACAGAGTGATACTTCGCCCCCTTGACAAGTCCCTCATGACTCCCTGCTTTTACTGGCTAACAGAGTGATACTTCGCCGCCCCTTCAATTTTTTTTAATTATTATTTATTTGACCTCAACAAAGAATTACAAACAGTGATACAAAACCAAACAAAAATTACACACTTTGACAAGTCCTTAATGACTACCTGTGTATACCAGCTAACAGAGTGATACCTCGCCCCCTTGACAAGTCCCTCATTGACTCCCTTTGTATACTTGCTAACAGAGTGATACCTCGCCCCCTTGACAAGTCCCTCATTGACTCCCTTTGTATACTTGCTAACAGAGTGATACTTAGCCCCCTTGACAAGTCCCTCATTGACTCCCTTTGTATACTTGCTAACAGAGTGATACCTCGCCCCCTTGACAAGTCCCTCATTGACTCCCTGTGTATACTTGCTAACAGAGTGATACCTCGCCCCCTTGACAAGTCCCTCATTGACTCCCTTTGTATACTTGCTAACAGAGTGATACCTCGCCCCCTTGACAAGTCCCTCATTGACTCCCTTTGTATACTTGCTAACAGAGTGATACCTCGCCCCCTTGACAAGTCCCTCATTGACTCCCTGTGTATACTTGCTAACAGAGTGATACCTCGCCCCCTTGACAAGTCCCTCATTGACTCCCTTTGTATACTTGCTAACAGAGTGATACTTAGCCCCCTTGACAAGTCCCTCATTGACTCCCTTTGTATACTTGCTAACAGAGTGATACCTCGCCCCCTTGACAAGTCCCTCATTGACTCCCTGTGTATAATTGCTAACAGAGTGATACCTCGCCCCCTTGACAAGTCCCTCATTGACTCCCTTTGTATACTTGCTAACAGAGTGATACCTCGCCCCCTTGACAAGTCCCTCATTGACTCCCTGTGTATACTTGCTAACAGAGTGATACCTCGCCCCCTTGACAAGTCCCTCATTGACTCCCTTTGTATACTTGCTAACAGAGTGATACCTCGCCCCCTTGACAAGTCCCTCATTGACTCCCTTTGTATACTTGCTAACAGAGTGATACCTCGCCCCCTTGACAAGTCCCTCATTGACTCCCTGTGTATACTTGCTAACAGAGTGATACCTCGCCCCCTTGACAAGTCCTTCATTGACTCCCTTTGTATACCTGCTAACAGAGTGATACCTCGCCCCCTTGACAAGTCCCTCATTGACTCCCTTCGTATACTTGCTAACAGAGTGATACCTCGCCCCCTTGACAAGTCCCTCATTGACTCCCTGTGTATACCAGCTAACAGAGTGATACCTCGCCCCCTTGACAAGTCCCTCATTGACTCCCTTTGTATACTTGCTAACAGAGTGATACCTCGCCCCCTTGACAAGTCCCTCATTGACTCCCTGTGTATACCAGCTAACAGAGTGATACCTCGCCCCCTTGACAAGTCCTCATTGACTCCCTTTGTATACTTGCTAACAGAGTGATACCTCGCCCCCTTGACAAGTCCCTCATTGACTGCCTGTGTATACTTGCTAACAGAGTGATACTTCACCCCTAGCCCAGGTGGACTCCCTTTCCTTCCTATGTTATGGAGGGAGTCCAGGGTATGAAGTGCTTAAAACAGGGCGAAAAAGTCTATGACCAATATTTTCAATGTTTTTACCTTGTCGGAGAAGCCAATTTTTACGTCTTAGTATTCTATGTGTCCTTATCTGTTGATCGGGGGGGGGGGGGGGCATGAATTCCATATGTGATGCTGTCTGACGTTAATCAGGAAAATAAACTCTAAAACAGCATTAAACTTGTATGTACTCTTTTCATCAGTTTCTCACCGCTGAGTCTAGTCATAAGACGTACACATGTCGTATGTCATGTACGTCTGTGCACTTGAACGCACAGTGCGCATGCGCGATTTGCTTAGTAACCACCCTCAAATGCATGAGCACTAACTTGTAAGCATAGTAGCCTATCCAATAACAGGGCGTGTTTTCACGACCGTGACCAGAAACATGTTTCGGCTTTGGTCATTGGTTAAGTGTTTTTGCGTCTTCAGTTGGCTGGAGTGACGTCACTGTTCCCACCAAAACTGAACCAAGGAGGGCGCTAGCGTGCGTGTGCGCTTTCATACGTACGTACGTATGTACGCACGTATGTATGACTCTGTACGATGGTGATCATGAGAAACTGATAAAAAGAGTCTACAAACACGTACAAGGTTAGTGTTGCTTTGAGTTTATTTTCCTGATTAACCTCAGTCAGCATAGTTTATGAATTCCTGAACCCACCGGATGCAAAGATAAGGACACATAGAGAATGTGGGTGTGAAATAAGCTTCCATAACGAGGTAAAACATAAAAAAAATCTTGTTAAAGTTTTGGATGGTATTGCGAAGAGAATTCTCATCCTGGACATTAGTCGTAATGCAATGAAGACGTCGTCTAACCTGGGCTACTTCACCCCCTTAAAAGGTCCCTCATTGACTCCATGCGTATACCGGCTAACAGAGTAATACTTCGCCCCCTTGACAAGTCCCATGACTCCCTGCGTATATCGGCTAACAGAGTGATACTTCGCCCCCTTGACAAGTCCCTCATGACTCCCTCTGTTACTGGCTAACAGAGTGATACTTCACCCCTTGACAAGTCCCTCATGACTCCATGCGTATACCGGCTAACAGATTGATACTTGGCCCCCTTGACAAGTCCCTCATGACTCTCTGCGTATACCGGCTAACGGAGTGATACTTTACCCCCTTGACGGGTCCCTCATTGACTCCCTGCATAAACCAGCTAACAGAGTGATACTTCACCCCCTTGACAAGTCCCTCATGACTCCCTGCATATACCGGCTAACAGAGTGATACCTTGCCCCCTTGACAAGTCCCTCATGACTTCCTGCGTATACCAGCTATCAGAGTGAAACTCCGCCCCCTTGATTAGCCTCTCGTGACTCCTTGCGTATACCTGTAAATGAGTGATACTTCGCCTCCTTGACAAGTCCCTCATGACTTCCTGCGTATACCAGCTAACAGAGTTAAAGTTTGCTCTCTTAGTAAGTCCCTCACTTCATACCTTTTTACCAACTAACAGAGTGATTTTTTGCCCTTTGGGCAAGTCCTTCACTCCCTACCCATAACAGCAATACTTTGCCCTCTCGGCAGGTCGCACACTGCCCCCCTTACGATCACCCTAACCACAGTGACCCCATCATGGCAAGTCAGTTACTCCCTTCAATACAATCAATCGCGCTTTACCCACATGGAATCGAGGCCAGAAGTAATCTCCATTTTCGTCTTGATCCATGGAGATAACTTCTCACAGCAAGTCACTCGCTCCTGATTAATAATACGATCAGTTACGCTCTGCCCATGTGGCATCAAGCCCAGAGCTGGTCTCCATTTTCCACCTACTCTGTCGGCCTTTACCAAAAAGTGCCCTCTTCCTGACCGGAATACACTCCAGGTACCCTGATACCTCACATGGCAATCTGTTCACCAGATTCCCCAGTTGTATCGGTATTTGCTCCCTGTTCGCTCAGCACCCAGACCAGTGTGTCGCCACCCTCCCCATCACCACCCCCTTGTGCCAACAAACACTATAGGTCTAAGCCCACCTTTCTGGCCATGCTTTACTGCCTCGTGCAACGGGACAGTTCCCGAACCCAATTCTCCAATGCCAAATACACAGCCAAAGTCGTTTAAACGCTTGACAGGTTCGCACTTACTGGACACCCCCAATTCACAACCAGTGGGGCCCATTGATCGGGTTTGTACTCAACATATGAAGTGGGTGTTTCAGGTGCCCAAGTTGCACCCCCCCCCCCTTCAGCACACGGTCCTGTACTTCTTTCCAGCACATGGGATGACAGTTCCTCACCTCCCTGACCATTGCGGATGAGGTGCGCAACAAACCTGCTGTCGAGACTGGTCATTGTGCTACAGCTACTGCCCCCTTCTTGATGCCTGTTGCAACTGAAATGAATGGACTATCCAGCACATTAACAGCGCAGCTCGTTCGGGCCTAGCCCACACGGCCATCTCCCGCCTTCAGAGTATTTGCTGCAAGGATTTTAGATTGATTCCACTGTCCCTGTTGACATGCTGGGCTCCGCCTTCTGCTGCCTGAAAGACTCCCTTCGCGCAACTCTTTTGTTGTCTCTACTGCAAAGGCTTTTCTCTAAATCAAAATCAACAAATTAGTCCGCTCTCTGCATCACCACAGGCTGCCTGAAGCCCACACCCACTCACAACCTCCCTGCTCTTGCTGGCATACCACCTCACCATTTCAGGCGTGAAGCCACCACAAGACGGGCAGCACTTAAGGCTGCCAATCAGGAGGCTCACCCCCTTCACAACAAGGTCTACACAGTCCTTCTGACTCAGTGCCTCAGGAGCAGGAAGCCCTTCGTAATAGCTGCCCAAACCTACATCAAGCAAAATAGGAACACCAGCAAACAGCAATGGCTCCTCAACGAATGGAAGAGGCAGCAACCAACCGGCAGACTCATTACCATGCTGCCCATATCATCCCACCCAGTCGGTGACAACCTCCCTCGCAAGGAGTGGTGTTGCCTCAACCGCCTCTGCACTGGCGTTAGACACTTTAAGATCCTGCATGCACGTATGGAGGCTCTCTGACACCAGCAGCTGTGACCGTAGCAACGTGCAAATGGCAGACCACCTTGTCGAAGACTGCCCATCCAATGGCTGGAACGGCATTTGGAACGGGGTTGAGGGTCGTCACATTCCCGTCATAGGATGGACTCGGCACTAGCTCAGACCACACTAACTCCAAGTTCAATCCCGATCATTTCACTATCATCATTTTCAAACTCATGGAGCCTTCATTTACCAATATTAGAAGTCGTCGTCCTCTCCTGTTGTCATTCCTATCGCGTCGATACATGGCACAGTCTGTAATGTTTAGCTCAGCATCCAGCACATGGTGATTCAACCACATTTAAGTTAAACAAGCAACCTGGTAATTATTGCTCTCAATGTACACACGAAGAGACGCTTTGTAATCATCAAGTTAGTTTTTGAGGCTATGCACATTCTGATAGCAGAGAGAACCTTGCAGTGACTAGTTCCTGGTCCTGGATTCAGGTCAATGCCTCCTAACTAACAAGGACTGGACAACTTGAGCACGGAAATTGGCAACATGGTCGGAGTAGTAAGGCAAAGAAGAAAATGATTTCTGATTAAAAATTCTTGCAAAAAATGCATTAAAAGAAGAACTTAAACTTCACACTGAAATAAACTATATTCTAATCTAACTTGAACACCTACCTAAAAGTTGAAATTGTTTGCCCGAAAGTGAAGAAGTGAAAATAAACAGCAAAATCTTGCTGACTTTGGTGACTATTTATCTGATTGCATTAATTGCAAATAGATGGTAGAAATTTAACTTAAACATGATTAAAATGCATCTAGAAAGACCGTAAATGGAAAAGAATGACTAAAACAAACTTGAATGCTAGAATGTCCTTAAAAAGAAACCCTAGTGTGGTCCAATTTCAAAAACTTTGTGAATTTAAAAGCGTTTTCATGAATTTGAATGGTTTGTTAGTTGAATATGGCCGGGAAATCCTATAATTTTACTTGGCAAAGTATGCCATTGACATTCCCATTTGAAAGAAATGTTGACTTCTTTGATTTCAATTACAGGATATTGCTGAAGTTGTTCAATGAGATCCAGTACTGGGAGAAGTTGATGTTTGAGATTCCGCACTATGCCACCGAGGTATACCTCAAAAGAGAAGAGTTGAGAAACCTGAGAGAAAATGTGCTCCTGGTTGTACGTGATTACAATAGGTAAATAGAATTCGAAATTTTTGCAAGCACTACTCGGATCTCTTTTGGGGACTTATGTTACATTCAACAATTTTTATGCCCCGCTGGCGAAGCCGAAGGGGCATACTGTTTCCGCCTTGTCCGTCTGTGTGAGGTGCGTGGCTGCGTGTGCGTGCGTGAGTGCCTGTGCATTTGGTTCCACAGCGATACCTGGATTGTATGTCCATGTATGTCTTGAACCTTGATACAATGAAGGTAGCTTGCTAGTATAACTTATAAGTTTGGACCCATAAGACAAAGGCCAAGGTCATAAGGATTAAAACAACAGGATTTTATTTTATTTGAATTTTTTTTTTTTTTTTTAACCAAACCAGTATATAAGATGGAATTTTTGCGCCGGGGTGATATAAATCAACCCGGCGATTTATATCACCCCGGCGCAAAAATTCCATCTTATAATAGTTTATGCGGTACCCGCTGCTATGTACATCAGATTCGAACCGGCCAACCGATCCCGTTAGCTCGGTGGTCGAGTGGTAAGACATCTGCACTAGAAAGCAGGAGGTCGTGGGTTCGAGTCCCACCCGAGTGATTTTTTCCAACTTTCACTTGGGAGGTAACACACTGAGTATACAGTGTTTAAAACGTCGGTGAAGGGCAAAACCTAATTTGATTCAAACCAGTATAGGCCTACATGTGCACATGTAATCACTCACTAAAATATTAGGGGGCCTGTACACTGTTTATACATGTTTTTTGTATAATCAATGTGGCTTCTCCACCCTTTTTTCTTGGACAGTCATATTTTTAATTGAAACAACAGAAAACAAACACATGTACACCCCCATGTATTACTTAAACTTGAGACTTGCACCGTAGTACATGTATATGTAGCTCTGTAGGTTGTTCTTAGGATTTTGAGTCACTTTCGTACCCCATAGGCCAACTGTTCTCATTATTAAAAACCAAAGAAATGATGTCATGATGATAACTCAAGCTTATTCAAATAACCATATTTTCTTTTGATTATTTAAAAATTCTTATTATTTCCTTGTAGTGCAGATGTCTTACCCACTGATCTAAGACTGGATAGCGGATATCCATACAGCATTCACACAGTAGACTTTGCATATTGAAAAATTCATAAATTTACATTTTAAATTATATCAACCATTTTCAAGACTAGGTGAAAAAGTTATTTAATTCTGAAAAGCCGTTGAAGAGAGAATTAAAATGGAGTAATAATGTAATTTACTGGTTGGGATTGGGAAAGGTGCTATGGGCTGGAGTTAAAAGTGGGTAGTTATATTATGTACCGTAATTTTCGGAATATAAGCCATGGCTTATACGTTGAATTTGCCCATGAAAATGCTTACTGCGGCTTATACACAGGGCGGCTTATACATCGAGCTTTGAAGAATAAAAATGAATTCAAATGTGTATTTAATGTACTAGTATAAGAAAAGATCTGTTGCTAAAATGAATTATCAATTAAGAAAGTGATTAACAAACCGAAACCACGTCCCACGTAAAGGTACCGAGTGGTAAAAAGTATGGGTGAAAGCTGTCTTCGATGCTTGCGACCAGCCGTACGTGATACTAGTGCTGCATGCCATGCTGCATGCTTTCCCATAATTATGCGCTAGCGGACCACACCATTTGTGGTAAGAAAGGGGTGTACTTTCTTGAGTACAGTAATTACCAATATTTCCGCTGCTTTTTATGGTGTTCGAAGCATTTCTTTATTTGATAATCAGTTGTTCAACGTCACAATATAATTTTTAAGATGGAATTTTGCGTCGGGGTGATATATAAATCAAATTAGGTTTTGCCCTTCACCGACGTATTTTAAACACTGTATACTCAGTGTGTTACCTCTCGAGTAAAAGTTGGAAAAAAATCACTCGAGTGGGACTCGAACCCACGACCTCCTGCTCTCTAGTGCAGATGTCTTACCCACTGATCTCTATATAAAGACTGGATAGCGGATATCCATACAGCATTCACACAGTAGACTTTGCATATTGACCAATTCGCCCCCGGTCTCACGAAGATGGCTTCGTAAATACGAACGTTCAGCGCGTATATACGCGTGCGTTGTATCAACAGTTGACGCGTACTTTAGTCTCATGTACACATATTATGATGTTCTAAAAGGGACACATTTCCGTAGTGATTATTATTTCCAAAACGCCGAAAAAGTGAACTGCGGCATTAAAAAAGTAAATCACGTCTTTAGAAAAATTGTAAACCTTGGTCAGTGGTGGTGGTCAAAATATAAGTCAAGTGAACCGCGATGTTACAAAAGTAATCATGTTGTCTATAAAGACGGCGACTTGTCCTTTATAGATCACCAGCCGGTCTCTTCGGTCTCACCAATATGGCGCCAAATTCATTCATTGTGCGGCTCTCTATTCGCTATCCAGTCTTTATATAGAGATCAGTGGTCTTACCACTCGACCACCGAGCTAACGGGATGAGTTGGCCGGTTTCGAATCTGATGTACATAGCAGCGGGTACCGCATAAACTATTTTATAATTTAATTTATAAATATAATTTTTTTTCTTGAAATGTATTCAAGAAATGATGTAAAACTCAAAACAGGGGCTAAATCACCCCTTATGAAATAATGGATACGTTCATAAAAATGTCAGCATCGTTTTGACTATTTTCGAAGAAAGTTACGATCGAAACTTGAATTTTTAACGTTACTACTCGTTAGTAATCACAACAATTTGATAAGTTTTGAGGTAAAACATGACCTGTCTATTCTTAGGACAAAAACAAATCAGCATCTGTTGCCACAAAGCAATATTTGTAGCGCTCCAGTCAGACAACACACGGTGGGTTGCATACTCTCTCACATGCTGCGGGAAAATGTTGTCATTCACTGGTGCAGCGCAGGCTGCCAGGCCATGCATTAACTTTTAAGGCCGGGGACCGGACGGGGCAGCCAGCAGCAGTTCCCCGTGTTTATTTTTCATCATCAATTTCCATATTTGTTTGTACGAGTATTGATTGTAAATGATTTGATATAAATTTTGTGGCCCTTTTTATAGCTTCTGTAGTGTATATGGAACTGGTTCAGAGCATTTTGACTAAAATTTGGAGGCCTTACACAATTTAAACCGTTGTGGATTTTTGCGTGCTGCGGCTTTTACTCCGTGCGGCTTTTATTCCGAAAATTACGGTAACTACTGTGCCTTAGTTGCAGTGAGGTCATGATGATGTCATAAATTGATTTTAAATATTGTGCTTGGCCGGTTTTAAACAAGTATGTTTAAAACTGGCTTGGGGCCTGGACGCTGATAATGGCCCAGGCCGAAGGCAATGCGTGCAAAATCATCAGCCCGCGGTTGCATTATGTCACATGTACAATTGGGTATGTAATAATAATAATAATAATAATAACGGAGTCTTATATAGCACATGTATCTACCAACAATTAGGTATTCAAGGCACTGGAAATTATGTCAATTATTAAAGAAAGGTAAATAAAGTTTATGAGAAATATGAGACCCATTATGTAGCACCTTATAATGGTTTACAAGGTGCCGCGGCACACATTGCAGCCACTGCCAGAAACACAGGGGCAAACCCCTTCTCTTAGCGATAAGTGTTACTGGGTTCTCACTATTGGGTCCGTACAATTGGGTCAGATCAGAAGGCTAGTCTTCTTTAAATGCTGTTTAAAATGAATTCTAACTGCATCGCGCAGTCTTGAAAAATAAATGTTCATACGTTACGTGACGTTCAGGAACGGGTGAGTGCATTACATTCAGGGCGTACAGTTTTCAAAATAAGCGTGCACTGAATAGCCGGTCAGCATCATTTACGTATTCCTCACGGCCAGGGGTTAGTGAAGGAAAGCGCACGCGCCCATGGAGTCGAGGCTGGTTCAAAGGAGAACATGTTCAGATGACTAAGCTCATTTCAAGGCTAATCATTTTGCATTGCATTTAATCGGTTTTTAGGCTGATCAAGTTCTATAATAATTGTGCATTGTTTTCAATGCAATAATGGGTCCAGGTGGCCAGCATGTGAAGTACATAGATGACACGTGTATAATGGGGTCGGGTCACAGCTGAATTAAGCACTCTGACTGCTAGTGTTATCATTGCCCATATAAGCTCATAATGTATGTTTCACAAAAGATCGCAATTCATCTGTATTGAAACTACTCGATCATATTATTCGACAATGAACGTGTGGAGATGACTAGTCTCATTTGAAAGCTTAAAATTTATGCATTGCATGTGAGTTGTTTGTGGGTTTTTAACAAAATGTTATAATATTATGGGCTCCTTGCACAAGTACCCCCTCAACGGCAAGAAATGGAGAGTTGTGGAGACCACTGGAAAAGACATTCGAACGCATCGCCGATGATGCTTCGGCTTTGCACACAGTAAAAAAATAAAGAATAAAATCATATTTTGATTTATCTTACTTTGACCTTCTGGTAAGCCTGGAAGTTACATTTCATGTACATGACAATTGTACATGAAATGTTTATCAAGGTATGATCTATAAGATTACGAAGTTTGATCGTGATTGTTCATTTTGTCGCCTTTGGATCAGGGTTGATATAAGTTTTAGGTTTCAAATATGTACCATTAACAGTTAAAAGAGTCGCAGAGAGTTATTGTCTGGGAAAAAAGAAGAAGATTAATGCACACGATTTTAAAACGGTAACCCGGGTGATACCCGATCACCCAAAATGCCAAAACATCCTTGATTCTTGTAACAGCATACCACTAAATTGGTATGGTGCTCCAGTGGAAATTAAGGAGGGTAGACCCAGCACTTCAGTTTGTTTATAGCACCTTTACTACAATTTCAGTTCACTACAATATCTTAATGAAACATTTACTGTTAAGCACAAATATTGCACAATTTTACATTGATGATATAGGGTTGTTAATGCCAGCAGAATCCATTTAATATTTGATAGGTCTCTCTCAAAGACTGCCATCTTTGTAGGAGAACTGCAACTGCGTATTTTGCACAATCAAGCACACATTGCGCAATGTTAAAAATGTTCCAAACACACGCTGCTTGCTCGAAATGTGTTAGAAATACAACACAGCCGATGCGCGTTATGCAAGTTGACACTCAACATGCTGATGCACATGGCTGGTGTGTAGGAAAAGACGTCATTTGAGAGGTCTATATCTTTAAAGGGAATATACATCATTTGCTTTTGCTGTAATTTTCAGAAATGGATGGAATTGGGGGGTTGGAAATATAAAGCAAATATAGTTACACTGACTTTTTGGAGGTTTTGGGTTCGAAAATGCTATAAAAACCAAGAAAAACGATCATTTTCCTGTAGTCTGGTTCCCTGACTCCATATAAGAAGAAACAGAGCAGTTTACATACATTAGAGAATTGTAAGGTCAGGGAACCAGTCTAGCTGGCTCGTACCCGTTCATAGATTTGTAATCGATTGCAAACAAGTGCAATGGTCAATTGGGGCCAGTATTTGAAAAAAAGCCAGTTGTTTCCAACGCTGATCGGCCGATCAGCGTTGGAAATTGATACAAAAATACCACTTTTCTTGAAAATGACAGTATACCAGGTGCCATAATTTTACAGGATGCTTTAGACTGTCATTTACCAACATCCTATTAAGGTATTTCGTAAAAACTTGGTAATTTTATTTTTCGATGTTTGCAAATGTTGTATATTCCCTTTAATGACATTTTTTTGGAACATTTTACATTTCTTTTTCGTTTATATTATAATAGTCTTAATTAATTAAATTGTCTAAAATCTACCATTTTTTTAAAAAGAGGAAGGAAATCAATTCTCTGCTTTTTCTGGACAGAACCAAACCCATTTTTACCTGTAACACTTCCCACACTTCAAGGCAGTAGCTGTGCCAACATCACCGTTTACAAGCAAATGTGTTTGGTGGTGCCAGCGACTCCGAAGCCCAGCATGTGGTTGCAAATAGGCATGGTGGCTGGTCACTTCGGCAACGACAGCCTGTTTAACCAAGAAAAGGTTTACAATTCCTGACACGTCATTGTACAGGGTTGTATGGTAGATCCTGGTATAGAAAACAACAAATACCCTCTCCTTCGCTGTATTGCAAATGATGCAAAATCATACCAAATATTAACTTTTAAAACATTGATATTCATGAGCTGATAATGAGTACTGCCATTAAAAAAAAAATGCACGCATGCCCAAACCGAACGCTGTGTGTTCCTGCCCCCTCTGAACAGTTGTGCTGTTCTGCTCGACTCACAATGGTTCCAGCTTTGTACTGTCACATCCAGCATGCAGAGCTGGGCTTGCCCACTTTGGCAAATCACAATCCAATTTCTTAGCAAATAAATAATTTGGCCCAGACCTCGTCTGCCACCAGGCACTAAGCAGGCTTCGCAAAGCTTTTAAAAATTGTGTTGCTCTTCGGGTTGTTAATAAAGATATTGTGTACTACAGTTGTTGAAACAAGTATTTTGTGTCATTTTCTTTGTTGTTCCAAACAATCAGAACACACAATAAATTTGCTTTTTGAAAAAAACTGATTTTAGGGTTACTTCGTTTATTTTTAGTGATAACATTTTAACGTGTAGAGCAATTGAAATAATTTTCTCACTTAAAAGTAGTTTAATAAATGGGCTTCCAAGTCATAAGTAATTTTGATGCTACCAGTACTTAGTTTTTTTATATGAAATATATTTCATTGTTTGTGGGTGCTGCTGTTTTTTACTCACCCTGAATGTGTATATTTGGACTCCAAGCCCCGGACCACACTACAGCTACAGTCCTTGCATTTTGTTTGGAACGCATTGGAGTTAACCGAGACGGCAAGGGCAAGCGGTCCGTCAATGGTGCACCAATTGCAAAATGGGCAGCTATCGCATTGACATGGAATGTCCTTGTTGAATTTATTCTGCAGGATCATTGCTGCCCTTTCCTTGGAAGAACGAGGTCTGTTCAGGGAACGCATCAGACATCTTGATAAAAAGATTCATCCAGGTCTCACAAAGCTGACTTGGGCATCAAAAGGCATATCCGACTTCTTCATTGGAGAGTGTAGGCAGTATGCTAGCAAGGTAAGAGCACGTGTTATGTAGGGTTTTGCCCCCCCCCCCCCCCGATTTTCCCAGGCCGACAAAAGTGACCCTCTCATGGTCATAAATGTGCCCCCTCGAGATGAAAATAAAACTGCCCCTGAAAATCACACATGAAAGCATTATGATCACGCTTAAAAATTGCCTCCTCTCTTGTAATGCGAAAGCGCCCCTCAAAAACACAAATACCCCTTGCGCACTAACAAGATTGTGAACCTTCTAGAGATGGAAAACTACTCCTCGAAAGTACAAATACCCCTCTTGCAGTAATACAATTGTGCCCCTCTCGAAATGGGAGTTGGCCATCAAAAACAATAGTGCTCCCCTTGTGATAACTTATCGAGATGGAAAATTGCCCCTCGAAAGCACAATTAGTGCCCCGCTCGCAACATTAAAACTGTCCCCCTCTGAAGATGGAAAACTGGTCGGTAAAAAAAAATTATAATGCTCCTCACATGAATAAAATGGTCACTGAACTGGCCAAAAACAACATTGCCCCTCTCACAATAAAAAAAATGGTCCTTTTGCATAGGGCTAACTAGTCAAATTCAAGGGCGGACCCAGAGAGGTTACTGCCAAGGTGATGTGCCAGAGGCCGAAGGGCTCTCTCATGTGAAAAATTCGTTCTTTGTGTGTGTGTGTTTTTTTCGGGGGGGGGGGGGGGGGGGGGGGGTACCTTGAATTAGTAACACCTATTGCTTTTATCGTTCTAGATATTAGATATCTACATTATTTGTGCATCATGTGTAATAAGTTGGCTATTTTCAATTTTTTTTTTTTCAAAGGCCAGTTTAATTTCTGTATGTTGATTTCTAGTTTTTTTAAATTTACACAAAAGGTACAGGTTATTGTGGACGACTACAAAATCGCTAACTTAACCATCTCTCGCAACTGCAAGCGCATCAGTGAAAACCTGCTGGTCCGAATTGACAACAAGAAGGTGTATGAGGGCTTGGAGTTTGAGGAAGAACAGATGAAACACAGGGCAAGTGCCCAGAAGAGGCTTAAGATCATCCATGAAGAGATTGTTCACATCATGAAACAGACTTTTGAGGTTTTCCGAACAGATGGGCAAGAGGTACAATTTTCTGAATATTAAAAAGAAGATGTTCAAACTAGTTTTAAAAATGATGAACAGAAGATGAGCAAATATGCAGTTTTCACAGAAATTGAGGTTTTCTCTTGTCTGACACAAGTTTACTCTATCAGAAAAGTTAAGGTTTAGGTTGGGGAAGTAAAAGTAGGTAACCAGCAATGGCACATGTGCACAAGAGGACACATAAATGTTGCTGTTTTTAAAATGGATTCAAATTGATTTCGCAATTAATACTGTTGCAAGATTGTTGTTTTTCCTTATTTACATGTATATAAGTATTTAGTTTTCCATTGTTTTCTTGTATGTAGGTCCAGAATCATTGGCATCGTTACACAGAGAAAATGGATAGAATGGTGGAGGAGGCATTTCGACTCAATGTCAAATGGTCATTACAGGAGCTGTCCAAAGCAATCAATGGAGATGGCAAAACAACACCTAATCCTTTGTTTAGAGTCAAAGTTGTGTTGACTGGAGAAAAGGTTAGTTGCTGCTTTTAATATATATCACTAAACAGATCACCTTAAACCTCTACTTAGTTTTGAGAAGATATCAACAAAAAGTGTTTTTGCAAATTTGCCTGAAGCAGTGTTGCATACGCCTACCCATGCAGACATTTTTTTAAAACTCGGATTTGTCCTGCATTTTTGACATCTTTCATAGCCATTCAGGTATGTCAAATCCTCTGTACTTGTCTGCATCCCTGAGTTGTCGGCAGGTGAATTTGGGAGTTGAATGGTGTTTTTGTGTCGCCTAAACGAACTTCTGGGGGACACTTACCAGTCCTAAATTCTGTATGACCGTATCCCCATATACAGTGATTATATGTCGGTGAAGGTCAAAACCTAATTTGATTTGCAAAACATACAGGAATCAACCTCGAAAAAAGGCGACACGTGCGATCCGTGGATCACCTTGTATTTAAAAAAATGATATACATGAATTCTGAAATACGTTACCTTCAAACCTTTGTTCCTCCCATTTTAAATACCTGCTGAAATACTGATGCCACTTACATCTTTTAAAACAACATGGAGTATAACAAATGTCGATTCAAAACCTTTAACATATTTCACATAGAAGAATAAATCAGCTTTGTTAAAAAAAAATTGTTGAACAGTAAACATAATAGCAGTAAACATAATTGCATGAAATTTACTTTTCTATTTCTTTTGTATTTTTGACAGAATTCAGTGGAGTTCTCTCCAACATTGAAAAAACTTGCTACAATAGTTATGAACACAAGTAGTCACTTGACAGCAGCAATATCGGTTATTCAAAGATTACCAGACCTACTGACAAGAAAGCGCTCAACAAAAGAGGTAAATAAATGTATTGGAATGATACAGGTTGGTGTATGCTTTTTAAAACATGTAGTCCAGTGTGCACACAGCGTGAAGGTGGAGGGTTTCCTTTCTAATCTAATCTAATCTTACACCATGTCCCGAAGGACGTTGGCTCCACGAATTTTCGCTCTCCACTCCTGTCTGTCTTGCGCTCTACGGTGTTCCAGGTAGAAGGTGCTGTTAACCATGATGTCATTTTCCCATCTCTTCCTTGGCCTACCCCGTCTATTTTTCCCAGTCACTGTTTCCAGCAGGATACGCTTTGAAATTCTGTTGTTTTCCATCCTCACTATGTGGCCAAACCATGTAAGCTGGGTTTTATATATATGCGTAAGGTGATTAACTCTGGTGGTTGCCGTGAGCCGAAATTCTCCTCCATACCTCGTCATTTCGTACTTTGTCTTGCCAAGAGATGTTCAGGGTTTTACGATAGCAGCGCATCTGGAAGGCTTCTGATTTCTTTTGTTCAGCCTTCTTGATGGTCCAGGCTGCTGAGCCATATAGGAGAACAGGGTAGACGAGTGCATTAACAAGACGCAGCTTTGTTTTCTGTGAGACATCTTTGTCTTTCCAAATCCTCTGAAGCTTCCCAAGGACCACGGACGCCAGCATGATTCTGTGTTTTATTTCGCAGGAGTCGTCATTAGAAGGTGTGAAAAACACTCCAAGGTATTTGAACTGCAACACTTGTTCCAGTGCTTTGCCATTTATCTTGGGCTAACCATTTCTTGCTCTTCGAGAGTGAAAATCATTACTTTGGTCTTTGGTACACTGATCTCCATTCCATACTTGTTGCTGGTCTCATGGACCCTGTCGAGCAGAGTCTGAAGGTCGGCTTCTGTCTCAGCTAACAGAGCGATGTCATCTGCGAATCGCAGGTCCCGCAGTTTGTACCCATCTACATTTATCCCAAGCTGGTCGCACTCAGCAAAAGCCTCGGACATGATATTTTCCAGAAAGAAGTTGAACAGATCAGACGACAAGAGGCAGCCCTGTCGTACACCAATTGTAGTTAGGAACCAGTCTGTGAGTTTGTTGTTTATTCTAATGCAGCTCTTGGCCTTTGTACAGATCCTTGATGATGTTGACCAGTTTGCCAGGGACACCATACTGTTGCAAGACTGCAAACAAACCATAATGCCATACACAGTCGAATGCCTTCTTGTAGTCAATAAACACAGCATACACCTTTCCACTTTGTTTCTCCAGTCGATGTTGGATTAGGAGTCTTGATGCGAAAACCTGTTCCACTGTGCTACGACCGGCTCGAAAACCTGCCTGTTCTTCCGACAGAATAGCTTCGACATGTGGCTTCATGCGCCTTCTAATTACCTCTAGAAGAATTTTGCTACCATAGTTTATAAGGCTGATGGTCCTATGGTTCTCACAACAACTGGTATCTCCCTTATTTGGTACTGTCACAAAGATGGATTTTGTCCACTCGTCAGGTATCCTTTCTGATGTCCAAATATCATTACATATGCGATGATATCTGTCGATCATACTGTCACCTCCCATCTTTAGTAGTTCGCCTGGTATCTCATCTGCTCTCGGAGATTCACCTGCTTTCAGTTTTGTTAACAGCTTCCTCAATTTCGGATCGGAGGATTGAAGGCTCACTTTCAGTTTCAGTAGGCCATGATATCATTTCTGCACAAACAGATGGGTCTACAACCGGTTTGTGACTATATAGAGCCTTGCCGTATTCAAACCACCGTTGATTTATATCTAAAGTGTTTGATAGAATATCCCCTTCTTTGTTGCGGATGCATTTGTTTGTTGGTTGTCTGTCCAAACCCTTACTAATGGTCTTGATGGTGCTAAAGACCTCTTTACTGTTATGTTGCATGTTGTTTTCTAGTTGCTGGCATTTGTCCTCAAACCACTTCTCCTTGTCATCTTTCGGGCTCTTTTGGACTCTTCTTGTTAGTGCTGCAACTGATCCTCAAAGTTGGGTTCGGTTCGGTTTGATTTTTTTCTCCGAACTTCAGGGTTCGGTTCGGCTTCGGAAGTGCATACATAATGTCCATACAATGTATTAGGTTACAATGAAAAGCATACATAGGCCGTTCCCCTGTTCGAACAAACACGTGTGTACCGCGCACGTCTGACAGAAAAAGGCACCGCAATTTCCACATGCTATTCAACACAAGTTGAAGGATGAATCTTATTTTTGTTGTGTAAACAAAAGTCCATTATAATTTGACTTGATGACATTGAGAAATGAACATTGTAAATTGCTACCGTGTTATCTATCCGGCCCGGCAACTATGATAGTGTAGGGCCCGACTCCTAACTTAAGTAAACAAATTGCACTTTAAAATTATTAGACAGACCAAACCAGTTGGTTCTCAGTAAACAGGTATGTCATAGATGGAGGGCAGGGTGTTGATTTTTTGGGGGGAAATGTGGGGGTAAAATGACGATGACAGCACGGCAACACAACACGCAACCCAAAAGATGGCGATCACCGCGCGATGTACCGTGAGCATGCACGGCTTGCTGAATCGCAAGGTACAAACCGTGCAGGAAAATCGTGATTTCTCCCTCAAGAAACTGTTAAAAATTGCAAAACGGGTGTCATTAGAATTGAGAAGTCTGCTTTTGATGATGAAGGTAATTTTTTTAGCAATAAAAAACATTTTTGACTCTTATTTGATCAAAACAAATTAGGGGCCCTACGCTACACGATCGCCATAAAATTTTCCCACACGTGCTGACGGGTTTTCCCGACGAGGTCGTCCCGTCCGAGCATGCCCTGATGAGCACTAAAAACTTGTCTCGTGGCAATGATTGCTGAATAGTTTTGTTCTAAGAACAAACAGGTCCTTTTACTGTGCAAAACTTATGAAATCATAATTATTTTTAGCAACAAGCTGACAAGTAGCTGCCGTAAATAACTTTTCGATTCGCGACTGCCATGAATATTCATATTGTTGACAGATCCATTAAGGGGTGTTTCACCCTCTTTTGGGAGATTACATCGTTTTTCATATTCATTCTTAACGAAAAAAAATAAATTGCGAAAAGTACGAACTTATTCTGAACATGGGAAAGGTTTCAGACTCCATAAAGTATTTTTTAAATTCTTACACGGTGAAAAAAACTGAAAATGCTGGTGAATCTTGCCGAAGGAAGCACACCCTTCACCGCAATTGGTTTGGTCCAACCGTACTACGTCACGCTGGGAGACGGCGCAGCAGGGCGTGAGATACTGACCACGCTGCATGAATGTTTCCTTTCACGAGCTGTAAATATTTGCACTCTTATTCCTCTCTCAAAAGAGACCACATTGTGCCATTTTAAATTTTGTTTGACATGCTAATTTGAGCATTACTTACAAGATGTTAGATTTCTGGTGCCTAGTAACTTTTCTACCATCTTCGACATGCGCATTTCAAATAAAACTAGATGTCCATGTCGGTTTGAGGAACAGAACATAGGGCTTTTCCGCATTTTGATTTTTTTATGGATCTATGAGCAGTGAGATAAACGATCAATTTCAGGCATGAACAAAGTTGCATGACTAATTAGCTGTTTTTGCAAGACTTGTACATATAGTTCTTTATAGAACTTCAGAATTTGCACCCTTAAGATGATGTCACATGACCCACGATGACGTCATGATGAGGTCACATCTGTTTTCATCTATAACATGCCCCTGTTTACGTACATACAAAGTTTCATCCTAGTGTAGTTCTCTAGATAAAGGACTTTAAAACCTCCTTTGAGATGACGTTACATGACCCCTGATAACACGTACGCCATCATGACGTGACTTTCTGATTGCATTTTATGTGCAATTTTGCTTATATTTATTTTGCTTACATGCTTGAGTCCCATCAGAGAATTTTCCAGTAAATCACAAATGTCGAACTGTTTCTGGGAAATTTGAAAACAACGTAAATATGAGTACTGTAATAGAAAATAAAGTAAATGAGTAATATAAAATAAATTAAATATGAAAATTACAAAATTCAGCCTCAGTTTGTGGTAGAAATAGTTATTCAAGGCTTTCAGTCATGTGAGTTGCAAGTTTATGTACCGGTAGACACACTGCCTTTGCATGTCACCCATGGCACACACGTTTGTTTTCTGAGGATGAACACCTCAGACTTTGGTTTTCTAGCAGACTGATAAATTTGATCACAAATGTACCTTGTCCACTCACTTTGATTGAATCGTCCACCCTGCTGGCAGGTGTCACCCTCCAGGGAAGTGTAAAGTTGATCCCAGTATTGAGCAGTCAGTCTGGACATCCATTCAACAGGACACAGCCAATGCAAACTGTCTTGGACCTATAGTTCACTTCTTTAGATGCTATTGAGGATTCTGGCATTGCGGAAAATCCCAAATGACAAAAGCAAATTTTCCACATACATTTTACATTAACCACAAAATTCCAAATTGTTTGCAGTTATACACCCACTCCGACAACACACTGTAGCTCTATGCACCCCACTGTAGAATTAGCTAGCCCCATTCTGTGGCTACATTGCTGGACTCCCTCCGTAAAGTTTGGAGGGAGTCCAGTATAATAATGACTTGGCCACTAGCTTACTTGCTTATGGTTTCGTACAACGTACAAAATCTATATTGAAAGTTAGAAAATCTCTTTAATTTCAGGTACCTGACTGCCAGTAGTTACTTAAAAGAGTGCACAGAGACTTGTGACATGATATTTATGAAAAGATTGAGAATATCAGACTCATAGTATGTTAAGATTAAAATGAATTGAAGAGTTTTCTACACTATGGTGTTACAAACACAAGACAAACCAGCCATTGTCAAAGGAGGTCGTTGTTTAGTTTTTGTGGTTTCAACCTTCGGGTAACATGAAGCAAGCCGGTAAGAGCTGTTCGAATTCACGGTCCATGTCGCAAAGCTTCAAGGGCAAGCGAGACGTTATCCTTGCAGACTCGCTCTCCGATGCCTCCCCAGGCGTGGTCGAAGGCCCAACTACCCTCATCCATACCAAATTTAGCTGACATGGGGACGGTCAATTTTCCTACCGATCCTCCTGGGGCAACAAACAATTTTTTCCAGTACATCGGTGATTGATTCAGCATCAGAATTACTTCAGTGCTCTGAAATTCCTGCTGTTCCACCTTCATCCGAGTCCTTCCGGAGCCGATCTCCCAAAAAAGGAAAGCCCAACAAGAAATATTATTCTCAATTGGGGTCGTCTTCCGACAGTTTATATTGCCAAAATAAAAGACGCCGACTTTATGCATGCTATACAGACCATTTCTGCAACATTCTCAGCCATGGCAAACATAAGCCAGTTTCCCCACCACCCAACCGGCGTGTTTCTTATGTGGGACAACTTGCCCCACGCGTGGTTCAAATTGACCCGTACTGCTACACACTTTCCAACCTTACCCTTTGATTAATATTGCATCAAGTGGGCAAGTTCGTATTTTTGCTTTTCCACGAAAGGCTTAGAAAACTACTTGTCCATCCCTGCCGTTCCTGACTTGGCCAAGGATAAGCTGGTTGCAGACGGGGCAGGGTTCAATTCCGTTAAAGGGCTATTCGCTGGCCGAACCAAAAATAAGCTGAAAGACACCTTGAACAAAGTTGACTGGGCCTCTAGGTTCGGATTACTCACAACCTCCTTCCTCTTACTTCTTTCTGAGTATCTCATTAAGGGAAAGCGAGGATGGAACCAGCAGCCTTCCACTGTTTTGATGAAACCTTGTGCATGTCCATGGAACAGTTTGCCCGCATCTCAGCACTGGCTACAACCGCCCGTAGAAGCAACATACTAGATACACTGTTTTTTTCTTCTGACGGGGCGAGGAAACGCATGGAATCACTCCCTGTTTTGGGATTTATTTGCTGGGAAATTCCAGGACTCAATGGAGGCAGAAGTGAAGCGCATTGGTACTAAAATCAATTTGCGCAAGCCTGCTTCCAAGTTAGGGCCAGACTTGGCCAAGACCAGGAAATCAGTGGTGACCTTCCAAGTTCCCATGCGATGCTCCCAAAAGACTTCTTGAGGAAGGACCCATGATTGTTACACAACAACATCACAGTCAGTCACCTCCTCCCAATCACTCAAGAGATATCGTCAAAATCAATTTTCCAAACCGAATAGCTGTCCGAAAAATTTGGCTGTCCGAAAAATTTCTGTATGGACTCCCTTTGAGTAGTTCTGGACTCAATTCCAATACCAGCATGGACTACATCGTTTGACCTCAGAGGTGCGTACCTGCACGCTCCAATTCAGCTTCATCACTACCGATACCTGCTATTTTGCTACAACAAAGTGACGGACAAGTTTACAGCCCTTCCATTTGGGCATTTAACATCTCCCCGGGTCTTCACAAGGATTGTGAAAGCTTTAGGGGCTGCCTTTCACAAACAAAATATCATGGTGTTTGTGTACTTGGATGACTAGCTGGTGGTCGGTTGGTCAAAGTATGAAGGTAGCAGGAAGAAGGAAGCTCCATGTCCTGTCAATCGAACCTGGTAACATTAGATGGAAACGAAATTGTGTTCAACTAATTCCCAAAAGTTCGTTTCTTAATACCAAGAATCAAAGGGCATCTTTTCAACCTCCAGACATATTCATTCCAGAAATACATTTGCAATCATCCATTCTGGAAGATGGAAAATGGTGTCCAGTGAGGGCCTTGAAATGGTACATCAGCAGAACTGAACCACTCCAAGGGAAATGTTCTCAACTTCAGTTCCTTTGTATCGATCAGCTTCACGGTATACCATCATATGCTGGATTGTGACTGCTACATGTATCTGATGGGCATCGAACATTGCTAAAGTGTCTTGGATGATTCTAATATACATGTACATGCTCATCAGGTGAGAGCAGTGACAACATCGTTTTTCAAGGGAGTATATTGCGATGACATAGTCCAAGCAGCATTTTTGAAATCTTCCAACACTTTCACAACTTGCAACCTCCATGAAGTCCTCCAAGCAGAATGACGGACAGGGAGAATGGTATTGCTATCAGCTAGAGCATCTACTGCACAGGAATCTTCCTCCCAGCATACCTAGTAATTGGGACCAACCTAAAGGCTAAGCTCTACCCTAGTTTGATATTTGGCTTTACACGTATCATGACTTTTCATTTCATTTAATTCCACACATTACAATGACCTGTTAACTTAACCAAAGTAACTAGTCTCATCCTGTATACACACATTAGCATCTCGCAACCTACCCCCTGTTTAGTCTGTAGTAGAAATAGCTCTACAGGTAAGATGAGTGCAGTAGACTCCCCCCCCCCCCCCCCCCCCCACAGTCGTGGAGGAAGTCAACTAACAAATTTGCTTACCATAGAGCATTCCTCCCTCCTACCACTGAGGGCTTGCTGCAGATCCTTACCGGCCGGCTCGTAAGAAAAAGAGGCAGATTATGGCGAGTACACCCCAGGATATTGTGGATATGCTATTGTGCAACTCTTAAATGAATTGCACCCTCTAGCATGTCTAGGGAATATGCAGGAGTAGTACATGTAGTAGTAGTGGCTCTGCGGGTAAGTATTTGCTAGTAGACTCCTGCAACACAGCTGTTCCAAGGGAAATTTTGATCAGTAAAGTTTTTAAAAGCACAGACATGACACTTTCCAGATTTTTGTCTGAAATCAGACCTTTTGAATCCGAGAGAGAACAACATTTATTAATATAGAAAGAATTGCATCTTTCAGACTTTCATCCAATGTTATCCCGAAAATTAGGGAAACCTATGTTGTATTTTCTCTAAACCTTGTCTACAGCCCATTAACAACGTGATCGAGAAGGATGAAGAAACCAAGAAGATACAAAAGAGTATTGATGCTGGCATGCAGAGCAATGCACAACACCTTATGAACTACCTCGGAACCTGGGACAAGTAAGATTAAATCTAAATGCAGTGCAAGTGAATTCAACAGTGCAGTACATATGTTATAACACCTCCCTCACAGATTCTGTCACTTGATTGGCCCAGAGTATGGCAAATGATTTGCTATAGAGTACCCAAGTGAATAAATCACGCACATGATTATGTGTGTAAAAGACATTAGCGCGTGATTCAGTCCGTGAACCAACACGCGCGCGTACTCCATTCGTTTGCACTACACTTCCCGGTTCAAAATGACGTCACACTTCGGTACTCTATTGTTACTATTTTACCATGCACATCCAAAAGAGACTATTAAATGGCTCCCTCTCTCTGAAAAAGTACTTCATCGGGAGGGTTTAGAGCACATGTGTATTGTTCCCATGCACTTCATTGTTGGACATTGATATTTCATGAAGGGGAAGTTTGAAAAACTGCAAGTAAATTTTTAACTACCTTAATTCCAAATATAAAAAAATTTACATTTGTGTTGGATTTCGGTTTTATTAATCAGATATATCTACACACAAAAAACCAAGTCAAATATGTTGGTGAGGTGTTATGTCACAGATATTGCCTACTACAACTTGTGGTACAGTGATCCATGGAGTGTTCAATTTAATTTTGGCTTTATCTCAAGAAAACGCTTCATGGATCGCTTGGGATACTACTTCTACTGCACCATTCAAAGCAGTCAAATATTATTCAGTGTGTGACGGAAGATAATATCAAGCTCGTAAGTGTTGATGTGGGAATTAATGTTAATTGTGGCTTTTCCTTTTTTAGTTATCGTGAGATTTGGGAGATCAATAAAGATGCCTTCATTCGGAGATACCAGCGGCTCAATCCCCCAGTAGCTTCATTTGATGCTGATATCGCAAGGTAAATCAAGGGATTTGCATAAATGTTTATCAGAAACCTCTGTTTTACTCACTTTGAAGAAATTAAAGCTAAAAAACTTTGAGCTTAATTCCACTGAATCAGACTACCCACCATCGTTAATAAGTGAACCTTTCATTAATAAGTGAGTCAAGATGCCACATTTTATGATCGCGGGTATGTATGTATTACAATATGCACAAGTATTATGTAACCAGAATGCATTTAAAATGGTTGGCACAAAAGAAGTCAAAAACACAAGTTTTGCATGGTATAGCGGTTAGTGGAAGGGATTTGCTTTTAAGAGGCATGTAGTTTGAATCCTATTTGAGGACTTCATTTTTGATTTCGATTAAATTTGTTTTTACCAGTTCCCTTTGTGATACTAGTTCCCTTTGCGATTCACTTTCGCAATGATGAAAACATGTGTGTAATGCTCAATGTAGCAATGCTGTACTGGTTCCTGCCGCGCCGTGTGCTAAAAGGGCCAAAGAAGGCATGATGGAATGCGGCAACCAGTCTATGGGTATGGCCGGCCAATATAGCGTAACACTGCAGAGTGCACTGCAGTTGCAGGTCGGATTAGACATCGTAAAAATGCCAAGTAAACATCGATGGAGAAAGAAGATTTCTGCAAGTTAATTCACAGAACTCGGTCTCTCTTGTCTGAGTATGTGTTTTTCGTGTTCATGAACTAAATTTCGAGGTTGTACTGCTCGTACTAATAGATACAGCGCAGCGTGTTTCCCGCAGAAATTTCCTGCCGCAACACGAGGTTGTTCACCCACCACACATGTGCATCATGCACGCTTATACCGTGGGATATGCGGACAGTGTTACAGCAAAAAGTGCAATTGGATTGATGTGATTACAGCCTAAACTACGTCTGTTGCACAAACCAAACCTAGACCAGTGTTACCTTAACACATGGACTAGCAGTGTGGTTTGACTTTTGAGCTGACCTCTTCTTAGAATTCTCACATTAATTTCTTTTTCCCCCTCCCCCCCCCCCCCTCTATCCCCCTGGCTGTAAGCCGGAGGGGGATATTGTGATAGCGTATTCCTTCTGTGTGTATGTATGTATGTATGTATGTATGTACGTGTTTTACATAACCCCCGAGGACAGACACACAAAGGGAGAAGAAAGGATCCTTTCAGTCCTCGGGCATCGGGTCTTTTGTTCAAAAAGGTCCTCTGTTGTAGGTTCATGTGCTTAGTCTATGGAAGAGTGTTATATTAAAGGGAAGATACAACATTTGCAAACATCAAAAACCGAAATGATTACATTATCACGAAATACCATACTGGATTGTTAGGGAATGACAGTCTATGACAGTCTGTAAAATCGTGGCTCCTGGTTTGCTCAAACTTTCAAGAAAAACTGGGTTTTTTTTCCAAAAACTACTTCTATATTTTCATAGTTAGTTATTTTGCATTTTCCTTGCAATTGATTACACACCTGTGAGGAGGTACAAGCCTGCTCGACTGATTCTCTGACCGTAAAATTCCCCAAAGTCTATAAATTGGTCCGTTTCATCTTAAGTGGGGTCGGGGAACCAGACTACAAGAACATGATTGGTTTTCTTGGTTTTTCCATTATCTACAAGCCCAAAACGTGAAACAAGTAATTTCAACAATATTTGCTTTAACATACTAATCCTTCAAATCCATTTATTTCTGAAAATTGCAGCAAAAGCAAATGTTGTACATTCCCTTTAAAGGGACAAAGGGAAATACAAAGCATTGTCCTCGGGAGTATAGTACTTCAAGAGTGCTCTGTGTGTGTTTGTGTGTGTGTGTGTTATGTTTTGGTTAGGTTGACACTTGTCAGCACATAACTTGAGAACAACTTTACTTAGGATTTTGGGGCCGACAGGCCAAAGGTCAAGTCCACTATTGCTAAAACAATAGAAATCTTCCATTTTGGTTGGGGACACTGACTTTATAAAAAAAAAGTGCCAGCATGCCAGGGGGATTGCGCAAGTCTCACTTGCAGAATTTTTTTCTATACATCCAGACGTGGAGTCAAAACTCTGAAGAATATATTATGCTCTTTTGTTAAAAATACAATAAAAAGACAAAAAATGGAAATTTTTTGTCCTAATTCATTTTTCACATTTATTACCAGCTGGTTTTATAATGCATCATTATCAGTCTTGAAAATGATTTTAAAACCAACCTTGTGACAGGCATTTGACCAGGAATGGTTAAATTGTCTCAGGTAATACTGAATATTACCTGACGTATTCAATGATTTTTATGCCGTTGAACCATGATGTATTTTTTATGAACCAAATATACTCTTGTATTATATTCTTACGTAGGCACCATGTTACACAACCTGGAGTTGATCAGTGTTGTTTGGAAATCATTAAACCCCAAGGAGAAAATAAGGTTGATAGAAGCCTAAAAGGAAAATAAAACAAGTAGGATATATTGTAAATGTTTGCAACTGTTGTTGGACCTTTTAATATTGTTTCCATAATTTGAAATGTAACATCAAAATGCTGCTGGCAAACCAATACATATAGATACAAGCTAAGATATTTTGTTGATTAAATTAGAGACCAAGTAAAGTTGGGCATTATAGCTGAAGTTTAGACTGTCATATTTTAGTAATTTAGTTCTAAATGAATTAATGTGAAATTGACAACTGCAATTTGTGTGTGTGTGCATATATATGTTTTAATGGTTAAAAAAAAAAAGTGTTGACAAATCAACTGATGCTAGAGTCATGCAAGTAAATAGGAAAAATTAATAAAATCATTTTTAAATTTTTTTATTTTATAAAAGGTACACAGAAGTTGCCAACAATGTGCAAAAGGAAGAAACCGTTCTTAACATACAGTTCGTTCTTTTGGACTGCTCCCCACTGAAGACTGCACTACTTGGACACTGTCATGAGTGGGAAAATAAATTCACCACGTTGCTTGGTGAGATGGCAAGCCAACAGCTAAAGGATCTACACAACTTTCTCTGCAGCAACCAGGAGAAGTAAGTTTGCCAGGAAAAGGACAGAAAGGGGGGGGGGGGGGGGGAGAGAAACAGAAAATAAGGTGTTTTACCCGAACTAAGAAAAATGTTATTTGATGAAAATCAATAGACAATTTATTAACCAAAAACCTCAAAAGGTTGAATTCGGTACAATGATTTTTTTTAACTCATTCTGGTCATCAAAATGAATGAAGTTTGAAATGAAAAGTCAACCTGTGTGGCCAGTGAATTGCCCTACTGATCGGAAAGCAAAAATCCTTTCTCCTGCTAAACTGTCATTTTTAAAGTTCACAAACTGTCTCACAGTCCACCACAAATCAAAGTTAATGTAATACTTGCAAACACAGCTGACTAGGCACTAGCTAAATTTTATGAAGTCTCAAAGGCCTCAGAACCAACTGTAGAGAATATGGACTCGGTGCACAAGTACATCACAGAGAGTGACATTGTTATGAATCACATGTAATTCCTGACATTGCTTGATGCTCACCATCGGATGCTATAGGTTTGTAAGCATTCTGTCGTCTGTACTTGGCGAATGAATCAGTATGCTTACACTGTGTGTGTGAACAGTATTTCCATCTTCTCTTTGATCGTAAGATGAAAATTCAGACTCTAGATTTCGTTACCATTGCTCCATGGACTTTGTGTATATGCTTTAATAACCCAATGTCAAAATTTGCAAATTTTGATATGGGCATGCAGGGTTGGATTAGCAAACTGGTATAAAACCTTATTATGTTGAAATCTTTCAGTTTGAAGTGGCAGCCACATTGTTTGACAAATGTACTGCCAGCTATCAATCAATCAACTAGATAATGTGGCATTTTATGAAGTTTGCTCTTATTTGCTGGCAAGGGGTTGATAAACAGGGCTGCAGTAACTGGATGATATTGGGAATGTCATGTGAAATACAAAACCTCAAAAACTTTATAAAAAAATTAAAAAACTAGTTTGATGTGCCAATGCCCTCCACTGCAGCCTTTGCCTATTTAGCATTTGTCAAACTCACAGAGAGGCCACTTTTCCGGTTTTAACCGGAATTCCGGTTTTTAAAAAAATCTCACAAAATTCCGGTTTTTCCGACCGTCAAAATAAACCCCCAAAAAATGAAGAAAAAAACGGAAATGCGTTGATTTTTACCTCCTTAGTGCCCTCGATTTAGAGTTAGGCGCACGCACGGCACAACGTTATTCGTTGAAGTAGTCTTAAAATCAGTCTTTGTTGTTGCCGAGCCTGCATGCGATACAGGCGGCCAACGTACTTGCACGCAGTATGCGCCTCCCGCATGCTTCACCGTGTGCAGGCATGTTGTGCATAAGCACACAGAGCATTCAGCCTGGAAATCAAGTCTATCATTTCAGTTGTCGGTGGTTCCCATTGCAGCGATATATGTGAATACAAAAAAACGCCGGGTACCAACCATTTTTTCGTTGAGCGTATTGTGTAGTGCAAACTGCAAAGGTCATGTACACCGTACCGACAGCAGTGTTGTGGAATCGTACATGTTTCGTGTCGAATATTACGTTGGAAATTCGGGTAGGCAGAATAAATATTAGGAATATGGAAAAAGTCAAAGTGATCGAACAAACTTACAGCTTAAAGGCCATAGAAGCAAAATTTAAAAATAAACAGAACTGGGCTTGGCTACAAGATAAAGATGACAAGGGTGACTTTGTGTTGGACTCGGAGTGGCTTTTTTAGACACACAAAAGCTACGTTTTTTTTCAGGCAGCCGAGCAGATCCAGTTCCGTTTTTTTCAAGCTTTCCCTGTGGCATCTCTGAACTCAGGCACAACTTCAAATGTGCAGTAGAATCCTTTATGCAGATCCTTTCAGATTTATTCCTGTTCAATTTGTTTTCATGATGCATGATACAGATTGAGTAAGCCCCCCAAACCCTTGACGAGCTGGGTGATAGTCTGTCATTGTTGGAACAACTGCAAACAGATCTCAGTAAGATAGAGGCCCGCTTCCCTCCTCTTCATGAACAGTTTGCTATCCTTGAAAAGTATGATGTAGCCATACCTGATGGGGTAAGTATGGTAATGAAAGTGTTCATTGGTAATTGAAGTTTTTAAGGTACCACTCTTGCCAATTAATATCTAAAAAGCTATGATTAAAATGTGAAATATAACAGAGTTTATACTATACACTAAGATGCCAACAAAAATACCTAAAATCCATAATCCATAATAGCCACAAAAAAAAACGTTTTACCATATTTCATACACCATTCAAATATAAGGTCTTGCTGTCCCCTTTAATTTGAGTTTTAAATTTTGTTTAAATGTAAAATCGCCCCAAGCAAGGCTATAAAAGCCACTCTTGGTCAAGGGCTAGAAGAAAAATATGATGCCAAAAAAAAAAAAATTATCAGGAAAGCTGAAGGTAGGAATTTATATTCCTCTTAAAAGAGGCTAGATCATAGAATAGAGAGAAACACGCACTAGGCAAGGAGTTCCAAAGAGATACAGAGCGTGGGAAACAAAGCTATAGAGTATCTCTTTGTTGTACATCTCGGCACAGCTAGAGTGTATGGGTGAGAGGAAGCAGAGAACCTGGTTGCATGCTCAAACACCCTGACAGCCTAATAAGACAATAATTAGTAGATTCAGAACGCTCAGCAGAACCCTTGAAGATAGGGAAAATGGATGCCACTTTCCAAGATGAAGGAAACACCGATTCAGACAAGCACATGTTAAACAGCTTGGCAAGAACAGATGAAAGTTCAGGAGAACACATTTTCAGAACAATAACAGGGATTCCATTAGGCCCGTGGCCTTGGAGGCATCCAAGGTATGAATGATGCGAGCAACCTTCTTGGGGGTGATAAGAGGATCAGGGACATCATTGTCTGTACATGAAGGAAATCATTATTATTATTATTAGTTAAATAACAATATACATGGAAAGCTTCTGTAAAATATACAAATATATTTAACATTATAGTACTAGAAACATACTTTAACAGAATTAGAACATGACTAATAAGTAACTTCATCGGACATAACTAATATTTAAATTTAAAACAAAACATTTCAGTTATAATAAACAGGAAGTGGATGCCCCTCATCATTGACTGTAGAATTTAAGACAAACTTGTTGGCAAAAAGGTTTGCCTTGTCCGAAGGAAAAGTAAGGACTTCAGATCCATGAAAGAGAGATGAAATGGAGGACTTGTTGCGGTTACGTTGTCGGATTGACCAGGTCATCGTTTTAGATTTATTCAATAAATGTGTTGTGTAACTGTGCAGTGTACTTGGGAAACTTAGTGTAGCTCTACAACAAGGACAATTTCAACTCTTATGATGACTTTCTTCTGAATTCTTATGAAATCTCAAAATGGATCTCATTTTCTAATTACACGATTTTCCAATCAGATGTTAAAAGAATCATTAGTGTACAAAGACAAACATACATTACAGAGTCTGACAAAACAAAATCATAATGTGTATTGTTTAATGATAAAAGTTTATTTGGTCCAATCAATATAGGTTCGTCAAATGCTTGATGAGTTAGATAATGAGTGGGTGACATTCCAGCAGTGTTTGCTCGATAGTGATGTGATGTTGAAGAAACACAAGGAAAAATTCAAGACAGGCCTTATTCATTCTTCTGAAGAATTCAAAAAGTCTGTTGCTAACCTGCTTGACGACTTCAACAGTAATGGTAAGCAGTATAACCCCATGACCTGTACAGAAACAACTGGGCACAATAGTTCATATTTTGTGGCTCTTGAACTTTAGTTTAACAAAATATTCCATCTTATAAATAAAAAAATATTCAGAACATGTATCCTCAGTTATAAATGCTGCATGACCTAGTAATCTTTATGTATGTGATCATGCCATTTCATGTAGTTTTCTAGCTTCTGTGAATTTGTCCTAGTTAAAATAAAGTTATTTTTGGAATAGGAATTGAACTTCATGGCTGAAACTATTTCTGAATTGAAATGTTTTGTGGCAAGTTGGACCCCCTGTTGCATTTCTAATTATGATAGTTGGTAATACTACGATACTTCCTTCTTTTTAATCGTACCATTACTCTTCCATTTGAGTTGTTCTTCATCTATCCAAGTGTCCTACCATGATTGTGAGAATTTTTGTTCAACTCCTTTGATTTTTTTCCTCAAGGGCCATTCAGTAGTACCCTAGGATGTGAGGAGGCATTACAGCTGGTTTCACAAATCAGAGATCAGGTCAACACTCTCAAGGAACAAGAAGCCAAGTTGCGTAGGGGACTTGGTATCTTCAAAATTGATCAACCTCCGTCTAAGGAAATACAGCAAATTGATAAGGTGAACCACATTAGGAACTATATGGGGTTTTGTAATTTCAAGTTGTTTGTGTTTAAGTGTTCTGCTAATTTATCTTTGATTTAAAGACTTGGAATTAAATTTATGCTGTTTCACAATTGACTTGACATTTATGGATATTTGTTTTGTCCCTTTTGCGTAGTTTGACATACTTACAATTTGAGAATAATGTTGACACGTAAGTGTAATTTGGTATTGCCCATTTTCAACATATTCCTTTGCTGGCAATACAATCCAGCAAGGTGTGAAGATTACTATAAAAAATGAAGAACATTTTTGCCAGAGAAGGACTTTTTTTGAGAAATATTTTTTTAATTTGATAAACATTAAAAAAAAAACGGAACCCAAACCCCACAAATTACATTTCATATTTAAAAAAAAAATCTGTAGCACCAAACATAAAAATGACCGGAAAGCCAATTTCATAAGCTACTTTTAGATGAAAAAATTACTCAAATTGCTCAATCTGTTCAAAGAACATCACCATTTAAACACAATGACCCTAAAACCTCTTTCGTCCAAAAATGCGATTTCAAGAATCATTGTCACAATTGTTTTTAAACATCACCAGCTCAGTTTAATTAAAAGAAAAAGGTGATTTTATTAATAATAATAATAATTATAATAATAATAATAATCGGCATTTAAGAACGCTCTTATTAGTAAACTAAATCACAGCGCTTACAAATAATGAACAATTAAATTAAATAAATAAATTAAGTTTAATAATAAAAACAGGTAGCATAGACAATGAATTGATTATTGGAGGAATAAATTGGTCTTGATCAGCTTCTTGAATTGCTCGAGAGATTTGGCATTTTGAATGGAAAAGGGCAGACTATTCCACTCATTCGCTGCAGTGACTGTGAAGGTTCTGTCACCAGCTTTGTTGTGGGTACGTGGGAAAGTCAGACAAAAAGGATTAGAACTAGAACGGAGGTTTGGTCTGGGGGGAACATGAGGCAAAATGCAGGACTGCATATATTCTGGTGACTGGTTGTGAAATGATTTGTATACCAAAAGTATTAACTTGTAACGAATTCGTTTGGAGATGGGTAACCAGTGTAGTATTATTAATCATATTATTTGCCTAACCAGGGCTGTAAATAAAGATACAGTGGAACGACGCTATACCGAACACCGCTATACCAACCATTCGGCTATACCTAACATCGTCCTTGGAGCCCAGTGCTTGTGTACAAAACGTACCGAACATTGTTGTCGAAAAAAATTCAACAGATTTACAAAAAACCTACCGGTTACAAAATGTATATTAAACGCTGTTTGGGCCTTTTTTTTTTATTCCCGAACGTCAGACGACCCATATACATCGTGTTTGAATGTCGAAGAGTGATAGGTGGCTTGTATTTCCCCAAAGAATAGAAGGGAAAAGCTGCTCGTTACTGAAGTTTTGTAATGACTCCTCTAGCTGCCGCGGGATGTTAATGCCAGTTCACTATTGGTCAAAAGAGGGTGCTGCCAATGTGAAATCCTGTGGTGAAAACCACCTTAGTAGGGTTTTATTTTTCTTGAAGCTTAGATTTGGAAAACTAAGGCTAAAAGTGAAAAAAAAAGTAAAAAAATAGAAAACATACATTTATCCCAGCCATTACGTTCCCTTTTCCCGATTCCTCTCTTCTTCTCCGTGTTGTTTTTGTTTATTGTGTCGATTTTATTAAGTTCTCCATTCATAATTTTACAAATGTACTTGATACAACTTTACAACTACTATATTAAAAAATAAAGCCTTATAATTAAATAACTTTTTATGTAAACTTTTTGGCAATTTCTTGATAAAATATTAAAATTTAAAAGTACAGTTTAAGAAACAGTTTCGTACATCGAAACGGCAAAAAAGGGGAAATGAATAAACACTTAACAAATCCAGTCAAAAGAGGGAGCACTTAAAGTAGGGCACAAGAAGGCGCTATTTAAACGGATAGACTCCATTTTAATCACCAGTGGTTCAAAATCGCTATACTAAACAAGTGCTATTACGAACATTTTCTGTGGATCCCTTGATGTTTGTTATAGCAGCGTTCCACTGTATTGTGTACTACAGTTTAAACAATTAAGTATTCTGTGTCATTTTCTTTGTTGTTCCAAACAGTCAGAATACACAATAAACTGCTTTTTTTTTTTTAGGACGAAACAGGTTTTAGGGTCATTGCGATTAAATGGTGATCTTCTTTGCACGGATTGAGCAATTTCAGTAATTTTTTTGGTGCTATATATTTTTTAAAATATGAAATATAATTTTGGGGGTTTGGGTTCCACTTTTTTTTACTCACCCTGTATTCTTCAAAATGAAATAGCACAATAATGTGACTTTTAAATATGTTATGAATAATACATCATTACCATTAAATTGTCTATATGATGAAATCCACGTTCAAAAGCATTTGATTAGTGGTTGGATTGCTAAAACAATGTGTAACTCTGTCATAGCAAAACAGATAGATACATGTATATATGATGGTATACTTGTGGTATTTTTCGTTAACTTTTGATAATTGTACACTAGGATCTAGATCATCTTGAGACTGTTTGGCAGTTGACCAAGGAATGGGAAGGACTTTGGAGTACATGGAAGGTTGGATTGTTTCATGAACTAGTCACAACAGAGATGGAGATGACTGCTGGCCAATTGTACAAAAAGCTCAATAAACTCAACAGGGAGTTGAAGGTACGAAACAGCGAGTTTTTTATTAGTTATTTTTGTGTGATCATTATCCTGCCTAGCAATTCTGCTGGCTTGGAAGTTTCACAAAGTCTTTCATTCCCACTGGGTGCTCCATATGATGCACAAATTGTGATAGTCAATTTCAATAATGCCTTTCCCATGGAGTTGACTAATTTACTTGAGAGGAAAACCCCAGGGCCTGGTTGGAGTATTGGAATAGGTGATGGAATTCTTGGCATTTTATAAAAAGGTGTAACCTTGAAAGTTTCACGTGTCAGTTAATTGTCCAAGTACACTTGGACTTTATGTCTGTGTGGCTGAGACCTTGTTGGATGACACATGCATGTTCATGTACTAGTGTTAGAGAAATTAGAGCATCACTTGTTATTCCTATGGTTCTCATATTTGTTTGCCTTATAATAAGCTGGATTGGACAGTTAGCAAAAACTAAAACTTGCATGTTGCACCCATATACGTTTATAAGAGTTCTATTCAATAAGAACCCCATGGAATGTTGGAGAACGTGCACTGAATTCTGGCATTGCCAAGGGTCAGCAAGTTCGCAAACTCTCCAGCCAATATTTAGTCATGCTGTTCAAGTTAGTGAGGCAGTACCCGCTCTTGTGTGGTTGTTTTAATTCCCCTAAGTACTGCATAATTAATAGCTTCAGAAGTCTCTTGTAAACATCCACAGAGCTTCTGACCTTAAGTGCTTGCTTGTGGAGAATCACTCAATTATATATTTTAGGAGTCATCAAGCCAAATGAAGTAATGCAATTGAGATTGTAATATACGAGAAACAGTGTTGGAGCAAAGGCTTTGACCCTCAAGGCCAAGGCCAAGGCCAAGGCTTTGCCCCTCAAGGCCAAGGCCAAGGCTTTGCGCCACGAGCCTTGAAATGTTTTATGAAATGACCACTGATATAGAACTAATTATAGTCACATGAGTGACACATCATCACGCAAGGGCGGATCCAGAACACAATTTGGGGGGGGGGGGGGCGCAAAGAAATTTCGGTGTCCCCCCCTAAAAAAGTGGGTCGAAAAATTACGGCTTGGGCTTCGGGGCCCACTTAAGGGACCCGAAAAAATTTTGGATTCGAGATGCACTGTGGTGCGATTTGAGGCAATTTCTGACCATTTTAACCGATGTTTTTGAGGAAAAGATGGTGGTGTACTCATTGCCTGCCTTTATTACGACGTCACATAAAAAAAAAAATGGTTTCGTTTTTTTTGGGGGGGGGGGGGGCCTGGGCCCTTTTAGCCCCCTGGATCCGCCCTTATCATCACGAATTGCTCGTTACGAAGAACAACATTTCTTCAATTGCAATCAACATGCTCGCATAGGCCTACACCATTTTATGACTGCACTGTATCTATTAAAGTATAAGTTCAGGTCTTCAATATGGTTTAACTAAACAAAATAATGATTTACTTCTATATTGACACACAATTCTCCCAAGTGTAACAAAAGGGGGATCCAAGAAACTGATTTTGGAAAGTTTTTATTTGCTGGTCCAACATGGTCAGAAATATCAGCATTATCTGAAACAGATACATGCAAATCTTTAGCACTTATCAGGGAGACGTAATTATACAACCAATCAGATCTATTCCATAGTTATATGCAATTA